TTTGTCTGTCTGACAAGCGCCATGTTGATATCAACATCCAAGCTCCCACCTGCTGCAGCTGTGAGACCCTGGGACTTGTAGTTCCCCCCTCCCCAGGGTGACGGGGAGAGCCGCCGGGCGGGGACTACAACTCCCAGTATGCCCCGGCGGCACGCCACGCCGCCGGAGCGCGGTGCGAAGCGCGGAGATCGGACTACAACTCCCGGCATGCCTCGGGAGGGAGAGGCGGGGTTCGGCCATTACTTCATCCTGGGCGGCGGTGGGACTGCAAATCCCATGATGCCCTGGGGCGCGGGGGCCGGGCAGGAAGGTGGGGGGGGCAGGATTGTCCCAGTAAATAGAGCCGGGTGAAGCATGAAGCTGGTGAGTGTGTGGAGATGGAGGGAGGAGGGGGGCTTCAGCCCGCCCCCGGCGGTGAGGGGGGTCTCCCGGAATCGCCCCTGGGCTGTAGCAGCTTCAGCCGCGCCGGGTGTGAGGGGAAACTGAGGCACTGGGGGGGGGAGGCGGCGGCCCTGAGGGGAGCCGGGGGGTGGGAAGGGGCACAGGCCCGGGCGGGCGGCTGGCTCTCCTCAGGTTTTCTGCCGCCGTCTTCCCCCCCCCTCGCCACGACTGGCGGCTGTGCAGGGGCTGGCTGGGTTTGGGGTTGTGGATAGGGTGAAACGTGGGTGGGATTCGGGAGGAGGAGGAGGAGGAAGAGGTGTTTCTTTGCCTTCTTACCGTTGAACACGAGTCTGGCCGCGGAACAGTTGCTGGAGTCGCACCGCACGTGTGGCTGCCCCTGGGTTTCTCTAGGAATATTAGTAAATCCCCGTGGTTCATAATAAAATCATTTTCCGTCGGCGGTACGGCGTTAATACAGGTAATTACTAATAAGGAAATCGGCCTGAAATAGCTTTGTCAGGGGCGCACTATGCTTCTGATGGAGACTTTGGTTCTGATATTACAGTCTTCTAAAGGGAAACTTACCAGAAAATACATTACCTGTATTATTGGTCTCCTCTCTACATCTCCCTTTTCAACTATTTAAGTTTCCTAGAGACCTCGGGATTCAGCCACTACTTTATTTTCCACGAAGAATTTCTCTGTTTCACATAATGTGCTGCAATTCTTTGTCTGGAGGTGAAAACCAAAGCAGGTTTCAAAATACCTGAGTGTAACATTTGATTTGTTTAACCTGAAGTTAACACCGTTGTTAAATGTAAGATTGTGTCTGGGTTTTGAGAGTGAGCATTTTGTCTTGAGGAAGCTTCATAGAAGTGAACTTGGATTCTGGGCTTGTTTTGAGGCATCTGGTAAACCACTATCTGTGGTGTAAGTGTGTAAAATTAATTCGGTAGGCAGGTGGCCGATAAGCTTGATCCCGCATAATCTTACGTATGCGATTAAGTCTCTGTGCGTGGGTGAATACTACCGGTGGGACAAAGTCTGCAAAGCTAAGCACTTCTGGATGTGATTGTAGAGGCTGATACAATGCAGGGGGGCGAAATGCAAGCTGAGAAATCTTTAAATGAAGACCATAGTGGAAATGCAGAATTCTTTTAATGTCTAGACTCTTGCATAAGGGTAGAGGGAGGGAAGGGGTTGGGGTGAGGGGGAAGGAATACAAGCTGTCCGAAATCTGTGTTGTAACATTTTTAGACCCGTGTATAAATTTGGACACTGGGGATCCTAAGACCAGATTCTTCATCTTATATTTGTCTGCACATGTGTCTGAATTTTGGGGTTGTGGGGGGAAGGAGTTGGATGCTATTTCGTCCTCTTTTCTCATGTATATGGGTTGAATTTAGAAGAACAAGGTAAAGGTGACGGACTCCAAACCTGATTCAGAATCCAGTGAAAATGTCAGGCTCCTGCATATTCAAATGTGCTTTGGTCCAGGCAAAACCAGTTGCTAATCTCCCCCTAGGTTGTAAGCTAGCATGTGATATTAATACTGGAAGAATGCACTGCAGTATTTGTTGGCTTCAGTTGGAATTCAAAGCACTGGTTTTAACCTGCAAATTTTTGAATGTTTTGGAGCTGCTAGTGTGAGACATCATCTCTTTTCTCTGTCACATTGCCATCCATGAGATCACCAGAGATGCTCTGAGCTGGCTTGTACTCAGCATGAACCAGATGTCTGCTGAGAACCTGCCTCTATGAGGGCCTTAGCATCTGGAATTAGCCCCTCATCTTGATCTCTTTGTGCCCTGCTCTGTCAAACTTTCATCCAATTTACAAAGCCTACCAAAAAAGTTGGGACCTGAGGTGGGCGTATTTATGTCTTTTGTCTGTTTTGTGGCTTTGTTACATGACCATTTTTTAGCTGGGTGATGAGGCACCTAGTGCGTCAGCTGCACCAGCCTTTAGCCATAAGGGAATAAAGATGGAAGCAAACAAATCTTAGAGAGAAAAAAAGACTTGCATTTTAGTCCAGTGAGGAATATTAGTGACTGGGATCTCTGGATCTGTTTTAAACAGTAGCAGGTATAAACTGGGTGAAAATGATCACATTTGTAGTGTGTATAGAGACGTATATAGTGCAAACACTCATATTCTTGGATTCCTAATCTAAAATTCTAACAGAGGTCCAGGCCCAGAAGTGTCACCTGTGCAAATAGCTGTATAGCATATATGAATTGCCTTTTTTTTTTCAGTCACTTTACTTGAATCTGGTAGAAAGAGTCCATTGACTCCCAGGAATCCTTTTACCACAGCATGACAGCCACAGATATAGATTATTTTAGATGCTTTTAAAGAAGAAAAAAGGAAGATTTTCCAGTTAGCTCGTAGATGTCAGGGTCATGATCCTATTCATGATTTTAAAAAAAGCAAAAAAGTGTTTTGCTGATAAAAGAAGTGATATTTCATTGCCTTTTTTTAATTACCGGTAGTTTAGATGCTACAAAAATAGTTTAGATCTTAATTTTTTTCCTTCATTTCTTTCTATTTACTTGGATTTTAACTTCAGTTGTCAAAGCTCTGGTCTGGTAAGAACTTAATTTCACATGCGTGTCTTACATTTGCGAATAAAACAACTGAATTCCTTACTTGTTTACTCACTTCTTCAGCGGTTTGGCTTTTCACATTTTTTTAAAACTTTGCTAACAGCAGGCAAAATGTAATGTTGCTCCTTAGTAATTAAGGCTTTGTGAATTTAAAACAAAAGTCTGTGTGATATTTTTAATTTAATATTTGGGGCTTAGTAGCTTCTTCATATTTAAATATAATTTAAAACAGGTTTTTGATGAATGTATGTAAATAGGCTCCTTGGGAGTTGTTAATCCAGACAGTTGCAATCCTGTGTTAACATATTGTGAGAAGAGATAGAAAGTGAAATGATTAATCTACCTTCTTTCCGCTTAGTAGAGTGAAGTATAGAAAGCAAGCATAAGGTATAAATGACTGAGTCTGTTTTCAATGTGGTGCATGGCCAACCAATTGATATTTTCATCTTAATTGACCAAAACTTGAATTTAAAAGCTAAAGTTTGACCACCTGAGCATTGCTGTCCTGCCACATGCCCAGGCTTTGGAGATACAAAAACTTGTATTCAAGATGCAAAATCTCTTATTCTTGCAATCCCTGAAGAACCAGGGAATCCCTCGACAAAGAAGAGAAACCCTCATGTGGAGGTGGCCACCCTCTATTCAGACATTTACGTTCCAATCCCGCATTTTAAAGCTGGCATTTTTATTCACTTCTCTTCTTATTCAAAGCTTCAGCTGCTCCTGTGCCTCGTTAAATGTTTGCCACTCTCCACACAAGAGGTGACTGCATCTCAATGATGCTCAAGTGCCCCTGTACATAACCTGCTTACTGGCTCATTAAGCTTGCAAAGCATTTGGGATTTCTCAGTACACAAACCCTTCCATTCAGGTATGGTTGTCCATTCCCTCGTGTTTCCTGTTTGCGTTTAGCAAGATAAAAAGCAGGTGAGAGCATGCCCCAGAGCTGCTGCAAGTGCACATGTACAGCTTCCTCTGCTGATCTGTGCCAAACAGCCACAGAAGGTGTGGGCTGTACCTTGTTTGGTTGTTTAGGCTGGTTTCTTACAGAAATAAAGCCTGGGTTTCCTGCAGGGATTCTCTCCCTCCCTTTCCATCCCAAGTAATTTACAAATTTGCTAGCCAATTTCAGCCCATAGGACTGAGTTTTAAAGAAACTGTTTTTCTGGGATTTTTTGTGAAAAATAGGTGGTTGTTAGAAAAGAGATTCTACATGTCCTAAATTGGAGAGAGGAGCTATGCCATCCTCTCAACCTGTGTGATCAGAAAACCCTTAATACCCTGACATGGGGAAATCTCAATGGACACACACAGCTGAGAGACACAGATTCATAGGAAATCAGGTTTTATTTTGGTGTGCATGAAACTATGTGTTTAAAAATAAGGGAAAAAAAGCAATTTTCAAGGGGGAGTTCACTCTGTTGGTAAAGGTCATGAGTAACTCATTCTTGTATTCTTTCAGTACTGCTTGTCAGGACACCCAACCTTACCATGCAATGTACTCAAGTTCAAATCCACTACCATCATGTTGGATTGCGGACTGGATATGACGTCTACTCTCAATTTCCTCCCATTGCCGCTGGTTCAGAGGTATGTTCTGCGGCCTGTAAGCACTTGGTCTGTGTTTTCTTGGGTTGCAGTTGGAGTGCTCTCTGTGAAATGGTGTATTGGAAGGAGGGAGGGTATGAGTACAAATGAACAGCATCATCTGGTATCATAAATAGACTTTGTTCACTTAAAAATTCTCTTTATCAAAATAACGTCCTTTGGCTCAGTAGACGGAAGACATTTTATGGATTTATTGATTGGTTTTTCTAGATAATTTATTCTAAGCTTCAGTAAAGTATTGCTGCAACTGCTCAGCACAAGTGAGGTCACATATCTGTCATCTTTCTGGCTTCTTCATGCAAGATGAGATAAATGGGTAACTGAGATGGAGTGCGTGGAGCCCAGCAAGTACTGTTTAACCACCATCTTCTTGGGCTTTTCTTCAGAGCACAGACTAATGCAAAGAAAAATAGCACTTAACAGTCCTTGTTAGTTGATTTGATGGCATAATTGTTCCCTTTTAAAAATTAAATAAAGGGCAGTGCAGCTGGGCACAGGAATGGAACAGCAGTGAAACAAAAGTAGAGTCTAGAAGAGAATTCTGAAATGAAGACTCCCCCTTCTATGCCCTGACTACGAAGTCGTTTTTTTCCCAGGTTTTTAGATGAATTTGGATATTCAGTTAGGGTGACTTATGTCTTGCATAAATGGAATCAATTAGAAAAATGAGGGGTTGGAAAGGTGGGAATGAGTAACTCTTGGTGATGGGAAGCAGTAGGAGTTTTCACAAAAGTAATTTAGTAACTTTGATCTATGAGGAAACAAGTGAGGAACATTCTGGGTTCGGGGGAGGCTTGATTAAGAGGGAGAGAATACAACTGGGAGTTTCTTAAGTGGCCTAGTGAGGTTAAAGCAGTTTGTCCAGCAATTCCTGTGATTTGTAATTTTTTGGAGAGGAAAAGAATAGACAAATATATGCATTGTTCGGCAAGAACGTGGCGTTCAAGATCTGCTGTAGAGTAGGCAACAGATGACTTAAGACAGATCAGTGTGATAGCAATTGCATTATGGAATAGGACAAAAATTGACTAACTACAATGTTTAGGGGCAGTAGCAGATTTTGAAGGGATCCAGAAAATTTGGGAAATCCAGGTTCAGACAGAATTGCCTTGCATTTGCTTTTTCCTACCCCCCAAAGAAAAAGGAAATTGAGAGAGGAACAAGTAGCAAAATTAGGTGATTGAACAAAGGCTTAAGAGGTTCTTTAGAACTGCAGGCATCAGCGCTCCCCGGGGATATGCCAGCTTTGTCTGCTGATAGCAGGCCCTGGGAATGAACAGCCAAATTGCAGGTCACAACCTGGAATTCCCCAAGTACCTCCAGAATGTCTGCACTAAAATGACTCAAACTCAATAAGAAAGGATGTCAGATTTGACCCCTGATGGCCCAGTGGAATCGGAGCAAACAGTTGGATTTAAATCCAATCAATCTTGTCAGTAAGGTGATTGAACACCCCTTACAGCAAGGATTGTCCTAAGCACATGGACTTGGGCAAGTAATTGATCTCTTCAGTACTCTACAAAACAGATGTCTTCCAGGGAGTGGTGGAAATGTGTTAGAAACTTGAGGAGGAATGTGGCTGCCACCAAAAAGTCCTTCTCTCTCTATAGTATTCATAGTTGTACCATTATGTGTTAGGTCTACATTACCATGATGTCTTAATAACTCTGAAATTCAAATGTGTATTATCAACATAACAAGGCCAGGTGATAGAGAGATGTCATTATCATCAGTTTCCAGGTGAGACGCTACAAGAAGGACTGACTGCCTGAGGTCTTGCGTTAAGCATGTAGCAGCGCAAGAATTTGAACATAGGTCTGTCATATCTTAGGTTATTACCAGCTGTATGTCCTCTCAGAACCAGACGTGCTGCTTCTTGCAGGTAGGCTGAGATGGACCCATGTGAAATCTTAACCAGAGAGGAGCTATGCTTCTTGCTGTCTTTAAACCAGAGGTCCCCAAAGTATGATCCATGAACCACTTGGGTTCTGCAAGTCTCAGTATGTGGTCTGCAAAGGTGCCCTAATTTTTACCTCTGGAGCGTAAAGGTAGAGTCTTTGCTACGCAGCTAATTCCTGTGTTGTACCTGGCATGGGACCCTCCTTGAGCAAACTTTTTGAGAGCCTGTGCTTTAATCTGTAAGAGAGGAAAGTGCTGTAGTGTTTGTATCATTAAAGGGACTGGACATTTTTTAGAGTTTTTAGCTCTTCAGAAAAGCCCATGAAAAGGTATGTAGATTCCACCTTGTCCTGGAAATGGCAGTCCTTGTTCTCAGCAGCCCATGGAGCATGTGCAAAGTACCTGCAGTTGCCAAACACTTTATGCCAGTTCATGTACTTTAAAGGAGGTTTGTCAACTGGAATTTTCTCCCCTGTACCAAAGTCAAATGCAAAACTGTAAAATGAACATGTGGGAAGCTCTTAACCTTTCCTGTCTAGCCATGACACACTTGCTAACATTATTTATGGGACAGTTCTAGCTATTTTGGATTAATCAATCACTCTATTACAATGTCAAAACTATGTCGGCAGGAACTGTGTTACTTCTTGCCTTCAAGGTAAAGAGTCCTTTCTGTCCTGTGTTGCTTATTCCACTTTCACCCACACACAAGACCTCTCTGCTAATTTTGCCCCTCTTGACAAGACTGTATACTCTTCAGTAGATGCCATGTTTAGTACAAGTCAATAGTGCTCTTTCATCATGAATAAAGCAAACTGCATGCTAGGCTATATTAGAGGGAGTAGGGCAAGCATATCAAGGAAAGTTTATTCTGCTCTGCCTCATGCTGGTGAAACTGCAGATGAATCCAGGTTTGGATTCCCGGCTGAAGAGGGATGCTAAGAAACTGGAAAGGGTATTCAGGGGGCTCCAAGATAGTCATGGGCTCTGGACCCTAACCACACTGAGAGGTTGGGGGAGCTGGGCTTGTTCAGTCTGGCAGAGAGGAGGCTAGAAGGGGAGCTAACAGCCACCTGCATCTGCTTGAAAGGAAGATATAAAGACAACAGAGCCAAACTCTTCTCAGCAGTGGCAGGCAGTATAAGGGGCTAGTGGCCACAGATTGTGTCTTGGGAGGCTCAGGTTGGACATCAGTCTCCCAGTGATGAAGTTTTTCTTAGCGCTTTCACCCACCCCCAGAGAGGCTCTAGAATCTCATGCTGCAGGGAGTTGCAAGACACAGCTGGACAAAGCTGTGGCTGACCTGATCTAGTGCTGGCTTTGAGACATTGGACTATAGACCTCCAGATGTCCCTTCCAACCAAAGTTTCTCTCCTCTCCTCCCTCATCTGTCAAAGTTGTATGTCAGAGTGGTTTGTTATTGCTTTTTCCCTGCTTTTTCCATAGCTGTTCTAGTCTCTCTGCACCAATTCTGCTCAGCTCCCTCAGACTCCAAAATACTGCTCTTAAATTGTGCTTTCGAATGTGTCAGTGGGGAGTACATTTAGCCACCTCATCTTTTCTATCATCAGGCTTCTTCAGACTTACTCTTTATCCTCAAAAGGGGGTTGCACTTCTCTGGCATAGCGTCTTGATGACATATCCTTCTGCTGCTCTCACCTCTTACCTTCTGTCTTCACTCCTTGAGTCTTAGATTTCCCCTTTTTCCTTCCTTGTGACTTTCTGGAGCGCCAGTTAGGATTTGTTCTTTTATATTGATGTTAGTCTGAACACAGCATTCCTCTGAGCCCTTGAATCACTTCCTATTTTCACAATCCTAAATTTGAAAGCCCTTATAGCATATCAGCATGCCTGTCTGTAGAGCTTAGTGCACAACACTTGCAGGTTTCACTGCAAACAGGTTCTCGAGTTCTGTCTCCAAATTGGAGGTTGTTGCAGGTCTTGGTTCCAGGTGGGTTCGACTCTCTTGTTTCCTCACCTTTTTCTTTTTTGGATTTCTGTAGATATGCTTGAATCTGGGCAGACAGTGGTTTTAGAGCTAAGTTGTCAGCTCACACAAAATGTCACTGTGAAGTATGAAGAAGTCTCTCAGTTACGGTAGCAAGAAATGCTGCAGCAATTACTACTGTAAACTCAGGATTACAATGTCCACCTTGAAGTTTCTTTATTAGCATTTTAAAAAATTTAAAAAAGGGGCCTTGCGGTTGCTGAGTGGTACCAGACCTGCCAGCTTAAAACATGCAGTTCACGGCAAAACCTTGACCCGTTGTCCTTCCAACACAGGTAAATGCACTGTACAGCTGTTGGTGTGGGTCTTCAGGGTGAGACCTAAGCATGAAACTGTGGTTTATGTGGATATAAAATTGCAACCTCTGTGTCCATAAATGACTTTGTCCAGAGCATTGGTCTTTCTCTTGCCATCGCTAATGGGAGTATTTGTCTGTTGTCTTCTGTCCCAGCGCAGTTTTACAGTGCTTTTTTTATTGTTTCAGGCATAGAGTTTGTTGCTGCCCTAACTTCTTCTCTTTATACAGCCAGTTTCACCACAGGGCAATGTAAGCAGCACTGAGCCTTTTTGAAGTTCTCACCGTAAATGACTAAAATCAAACTCACTGCATGTGTCGTCCTCTTATTCTTTTTACTTGTAAGTGACATAATCGTGATTTGTAAAAGTTGTTTCAGTGAAACTGTCTGTCTGGTTTATTGAGATTGTTACCTCCCTGAGACAGAAGTGGTGTTCCCTTCCTGTGTGACAGCAAATAGAGAGTCTATGCTTACCGACTGATAATGATATAATTCATATTGCAATAATTTTTTTTCTCTCTTTCTGCAGCCCCAGGCTGTCCAAACTTCCTGGTTGGGTTTTGAAAGATGGAAGCACATTTCTGGACAAGGTACTATACTGATGGTTAGCATTTTCTTGCCATGCAAAAAGCTACCTGACAGGTTAGGAACTTGCACTGCAGGAACAATATTGCCATGCTGACCCATTGCAGAAGTTTCAATGTGTACCCTTACCAGCCATGATGTCCTTGTAGAGCAGAACATTTTGAAACAAAATGCTAATAGCAACTCCAAGGCTTTCAGTCTTCAGACGTAGCCTAGCTTTTTAAAAAATCATCTTAAAATGCAGAAATCATCAGTATGAATATTTTCTTATTTCATGGAGCTCCATAAATAATAGTGCTTTGCCTTCTTAGGGTGCCTTTCATTCAACGGTCTCACTTTTCTGACACTAAAGCTTCATAGCATGCTTATAAATGAGATTGGTATACCCTTTTTTAGGCAGGAGAACTATGAGAAAGTGAATGCTTTGCCCATGGGAGGCCTCTTACAGAGGAAAAGCATGTCTTTGGCCTCTGAAATCAACATGTGTTCTGCTGCTGGACATAGCAGGGAGAATATTATCTCCAGCCTTCTAATTCTAAGACACAGGACTTACTCAGCTACATGAGACACAGAATTCCCCCCCCCCTTTTCATTGCATTAGTTTTGTAGGCAGAATTTATCTGGGGCTTCAACCAAAACTAGGCACTGCAGCGTCCAGCTTGATCTGCCATAGGGGAACAATGAACACAAAAATATGTCAGATGTTAGTAAAATAGGCAGATACATTTCAAATGTGTGCAGCGATAGGTATCAGTAGAGAAAATACTGTTTTAATAGACTGTTCTCTGACTACATGAACATTAAAGGAAAACCGTAATAATAGTTGCTTTTGTAGCGGACTTTGAGGTGGACAAAATGGTTTGATCTGATTTTTACAGGCAAGGGAGCTGAAGATCACAGATTAAAGACCTGATTTTTCTTCTCATTGGAGACAAAAGAAACTGTATAGGCAGCACTTCTGTTAGTAAAATAGTAACAACTCTATTCAGAGCACATGCTAGCTGGCAATTGCAGAGCTGCAGATGCTCAGTGGCAGGAATGGAGTTGCCCAGTTTGAATTCCCTGGAATTTGTTCCTCCTGAACCCCAGCCTGGGTCTCAGAGCTTTGGGCTCTGTTCTGTCCAAAGAACCAATAGGCTGTCGGTATATTTTTATATGTAATGTACTTACATTTCTGTGGCACTGCTGCTGCAGTGTGTGCTCAGGAGAAGTCTTCAAACTCACACAGCGTCAATGGAAATTGTGTTAAAAATTCAAAGGCAGCATCTCTTACCTTCACCTTGACCATTGTAACTGCTTGGAATGGTAAATTCTTTGACCCATGCTGGAAAAAGGCAAGGGAAGGAGTCAAAGGAGGATGTTTTATCATGTCGGGTGGACATTCCTGTTACAGCACTCTCTGGATGACAGTTATAAAACTTAAGTCCTGGAGAGGCATTGAAATTTGCTGCGATCTAGTTTTAATCATTTTGAACTCCCTTGAGATGAGGTTAGGAGACTTCTGCCACTAGATGTAATTGCTCATTCGTTATTAGTTGGCAGGTGCACTGTAATTATTAAGAATTGGATTCAATCTTTAATTCTGTCAGTCTGAAGCTGGCTGAGACCACTCATTTTCGGACAAGCAAGAGAATCATCCATGAGAGAAGGCGGAGGCGGGTGATAGGTAGCCTGTGAGGTGGGTTAGGACTAGAGTTGGGGATATTTTTGTTCCATACATAATCCTGAAGAATGTGACTTTTCATGTGACAAAGATTTCTGATGTCAGCCTTGAAAAAAGAGGAAGAAAATAGAGGACTATAGATCAAGTAGAGATAAATCTAACAAAAAGTGCCACGTGGAGCTTAGATCCCCAAAAGACGTTTCATCAAATGCTGTGAGACAGGGGCTAAAAATCATATTCTGCTCCTAATAAGACAGAAAACGTTTGATGTTATTGGGAACCAAAACTAAATTCCAAACTTGTAAGACAGGGCACTATAAAGGTGCTGTGCACACCTTCCAGGTCAGGAGAGCAGCAGTTCTGAGAAGAGTGGTCTTCATGACCCACTTTTCAGTTCATACTTTACTTCTGATTCTGATAGACAAAGTCAACTTGTATTGTTACAGATTTGCCGGCCAACACATCTGCAGTTGGAAGAGCAGAGAAAACGCAGCTTCATAGGACAGCACGTCCTTCATGACCCCAGCAAAACCAGCCAGCGGTTAGCAGGGTCTCTTTCCTTACCTACCAGAGTGCTGTTTCTGTTCCTCCAAATGAGGATATGATCCCTTGAAGTACCAAGCTGCCTCATCTTGCATGAAACCAATTTCAGCAGATCTGCTTACAGCAAGTTGTATCTAGAAGGGGAATAAACATAATGTAGTGATGGGCTGGAAATTATATGTGGTAAAGAAAAGGTTTTGAAAGTGCAAAATCTGCTGCATTAGAGTGACATTGCATTATATTTTTGTCTTCTCTGTTGATGTGCTTTTCTTACAGGAACTAAAGGAATGCTCTGGCCACGTGTTTGTAGACTCTGTGCCTGAGTTCTGTTTACCAGAGGTAAGTTTGTTCAAAGCCTTACTGAAAAATCTGACTCCATTCAATCATGTGGGAGAAACTTGCTAAATTATTATTATCAGAGTCATGGTAATTTATTAGTACTCAGGAAATAATACTACTAAAACCTCTGTGTTGTTAAGGTCCCTCTAGTATCAATGACACTGGAAAAAGGATGGAAACAGCTCTTTTCAACAGTGGTTTTGGGAGATCTGGAAGGTCTCCTTGAGCAGATCAATATCTCACAGAATAATAAGACTTAACTGTCCCTTTTTATGGGCCTTCCAAAGACAATATGACTGAGCTGGACTCGATTATGACAGGATACATGTGCTGATCTAGATAAGGGCGGTGAGTGAAGACAAGGAAAGCTGCTTGTCTCTAACCACAGATGCATGACCTGCCTAGTGGAGCTCCCCTGGGGAGCCAGCCGTGTGATTAAGCCACTGTTTGATTCTGCTGGGCTGCAGTCAGACGTGCTGTTCTGCTGGCAGCAAATTTAGGTTAAGAAGTTTTGCTGCCTTCTTAGCTATTCATCACTGCCTCTTTGATGGAAGAACTGTACCTTCATATCCACTGACATAACTGCAAGTGCCTGCTTCTCAAGCTGTTTTGTTCAAGAGTACCTGGGTTTAAAAAAAAAGAAAGCAAGACTATTGAAAATGTTTGAATTAACTGGGCTTACTTGACCAATCAGATTAATGGTGTATGTAGGAGAGCTGAAGAAGTGAAAAGCTGAGCAGAGTGGTGGGGGTGAATGATGGGGAATTGTCTGGGAATAGTACCCTCTTTCCTCAGCTGTGTTTGGGCTGTGATAACATCAGTTCTTTCATTTCATGTTGGGATGTTTTTTCTGTCTTTCAAAGACGGAGATGATTGCTTTTGGGCAACGATTTTTTTTTTTCCCTTTCTGCCTGACCTTGTTGACAGGAAGTACAAAACACTCCTGGAAGGTTGTTGTCACATTGCCGTGGTTCTGGCAATAGTGTTTCTGTCTGTTGATTCCATGAAACTCACCTCATGCAGCTTCTGACTCTTGTCATCTCAGTTCTTTGAAGCAAGTTGTTAGCTCTGATACTGGTTTTTGCAAGTGATGTCAACAGATCTGTGTGCAATTGCTTGTTTTCCCCAAATAGAATGGATATAATCCAGTCACACAAACCGCTCCCCCCAAACCTAGTAATTCTGGGTTCTTGTGAGCTTTCTGGTTACTGTCCTGTGGAAGGGAGGGATGTAGGAAGCATCTGTATGCCTAGAAGGTGCCATTATGGCCCAGATCTTGGGAAGGACGGAGTTTACATTCTGGATTCCCTTTGGAATTGAGGCCATGTACAGGAATGATAATCTGCTGGGATTTAGGGTGTTCAGCTAGGTTTTCTAGTTACTTTGTTGGGCTGGAAAATACCCACAGGTGTAGCTCTAAATATGACTGATGGGGAGTTGCAGCTTCATTATACCAATGTCATCACTGAATCTAACTCTGTTTTCCAGCAATCCATGTTACAACTAGAAGACAGCAACCAGCTGCACATGTCACCATTGTAGGGACTTTACAAATGGCTTCTCAAATGCTTTGGTTCCCAAAGTTCCCAGTAGATGCCAAGTCTTCTCTGCGAGGGCTAGGAACAGATTCTCTAGTGATACTCAGCTCGCATCTCTAGCTTCACAGGCTCCCCTGTCTGGAGGATGGTTCACATTTCATGGCCAGCCAAATGCATCAGCAGAGTAGAAATGTTGCTGGTGTTTGGCAGCACAGAAGGAGCTTGTGTGAAAGAGGCTTTGTAGTCTTCTTTGTCTCCTTCCTCTTTTGAAGAAACTTGTCTGCAAAAACAGTTAGTTTGAGAATCACAGTATTGCTTCCAGGAACACCATTGCCAAAGAAAGCCCAGTTTTGAATGTAATCCAGAAGCCGCAAGGTGATAAGAGGCTGTCTCAGCAGCAGAGTACACTTCCCCGTGTCAGAGTGCAGGGTGCAGCTCTCTCTTTGCTTGGCAACCTTCTGGTCTCTCTCACTTCACATTCAGGAAACATTTTTAAACCTCTTCAGTTCATAGGCACTTTTAGTGAGATTGCCACAAGTCCCAGGGAAGATTTTACTTTGTTTTGGTTTTGATACCCTTTTCATCCTATTAGTAAATGCTTCTAGGATGCTGAGACATGGGATGCTTCAGCTTGGAAAGTGGTAGCCTCTGTCCTCCTGATGGCTCGCTGGGCTGGAATTCAGCTTAGGGCTCAGTGACTCCCCATTTGACTCTGTATGATCTGGACAGGGCTGAAAACCAAGCCATGAAGGGCCAGTGTGGTATGTAGGGGCAGGCATCAGCAGACTCTTTGATACCGCCTAGTGAGTGTATTTCTGCCTGGCAAGCTTAGTAAGATAAAAGGGTGCCCTGTCATGAATCTGAGGATGGTGTTTCACCTACTGTACTCAGCTTGGAGATCATGCCTCCCACATCAGCTGTGATCATGGATTGAAACCATGAACGCTTAGCTATGAGTTAAGCAGCTTGTCACCAGAGCACTGTGTCAGCCCTCTGAAAAGCCGAGTGACCTACTTTCTTGCCTTTTTTATTCAAATTGCTGGACCAAGCCTTGTAAGCAGATAATATGTGCTTGATGAGTGTTGAATTCCATTAGCTGCTCTATAATAACTGAGTTAGAGGTCATATATCTTGTAAATTTCTAACTTGACACCATTTGTGTTATAGCATTACCAGTAAATATTTCTAATTAAAATTCCTTTAACAGTGTGTGAAATCTGCTTTCACTCTCTGAACTGCTGTCTTAACCGTCACATCAAAAAAAATTGGACCCACCGTCTGTTTTGTTGTATCCTATGAATGAGCTTAATCTCCTGCTGTACAATGTGAATGATAAAGATGCCAAACATTTCGTTTGGGAAAATATGGGAATTATTTTAAGCATATAAATAAATACAGTCTACATTCATCTCTCTTATTCTCCTGGGGTACAGTACCATGTGCCACATAAAAAATATGAGACATCCTGCAAAATCACTACTGCAGAAGTTTTGGTGTCTGCGCAGTGTTCCTCCCTAAGGAAGCACACCCATCAGTTCTCTGATAAAAGTGTAATCATCATGCCTCTCTTAACAGCAGCCTTTTCATTACAGGAAAGACAGACAAACCCAGGACATGGTTTCCTCTTCAGATTTCAGAAGGGAATAATTCAGGGGGAGTTTTAAATAAGTCTTGTTAATTTAAAGGAAACATTAATCTTTGCCACAGCTGAGACATGCCCCCCCCCCTTTTTTTTTTTTTAATAAATCAGTTACATTCCTGCAATATAAAGTTTTTAAAAAAAACCAAGAAGTTTTTCTGACATTGCTTAAACTGCATGAAAGGGTTACATGTTGCTTATCTCTTTCCTCTGTTTTCAGACTGAGCTGCTTGACCTCTCCACGGTAGATGTAATCTTGATCTCAAACTATCACTGCATGATGGCATTGCCCTATATCACAGAGTACACAGGATTCACTGGAACAGTGTATGCCACTGAGCCCACTGTTCAAATTGGCAGGTAAAAAGCCCCTTAATATTCTCTACTCCTCCTTCATCAATGCTAAGGAAAAGGTGTAAAGGACAATATGGGTAGAGGAGTGGTGTCTAATGTTCCGAAGAGGCTCTTAGGCAGTAGCTGAACGCCAGCCAAGTCCTTAGTGCTGCAAATGTGTTAACTCAATGTTTCCCAACCTCTGGAACCATCTGTCTTCAACATTTACAGCAGGTGCTTTGTGTTGAGTCCAGGCAGTAGATGTGGGATAGTAGATCTTGAGTGGACTGAGACACCTAAAGCAGCAATTACCATATAGCCAACTTCAAACCTTCAAAAACCATGAATCAAAGATCTCTTCTGCTCCTCTCTGCTTCCCTTAAACAAAAGAGGAATCACCAATCTTTTCAACAATAACGGACTTTAAGATTATTGCCTTGTAGTTTTTCAGCATTTGAAATTCATATAATTGTGCTTTCCTCCACACTGTGGAAGGGGATTTAAGCTGGCTTCATCTCAAATGACAGTTGAAATATGTAAGCTCTGAACTCCAAAGAGAAGCCCTAAGAAAAACAGCAGAAACAGCAGAGACTGAAGTAGAAAATGTAAGACCTGACAATGCAGTCAGAAACTTAATACTTGGTCATCAAATTTGGCAGTCTTTTCTTACAAAGTTGTCTGTTGATTGGATAGGTCAATACCAAAGGCTGCGGGTTTGGCCCTCAATGAAGTCTAACTGGACTTGTGCTGTGTGCATCTCTTATGCAGAACAGCTGCCATGTTCAATAATTAGAAACCAGATTAGGCCATGGTATCTGAACTACTCTGTAAGCACTTTCAGGCAGGAATCTTTGTCTATTAAAGGTCCTGTGCAAACTTTCCATGCCGGAGTAATTCTCCCTTTGTGTAAAAACAAACAGAAACTGAAGGCCCTTGTAGGAGAAAGGAATTGTATAAATATGAACTAGTAGTAGACCTCTGGAGTATTGCTGGCCCATAGCAGAAGATGACAAGCATAGTCTTGTTGGAGAATATACTGGTGTGCTTCTCCCCACCCCAAGTAATTCCAGATGTCATTCTTCTGCAGTTAAATCTGTCACTTCCTACCTTCAAGGGAAAGCATGCGTACAATTACAGATGTTGTTTAGTTTTGGGCAGTGAAATCTGCAGTGGCATTTTTTAATGCCTGACATATTTTTCTGTCTCAAATGCTGCATTGTGCATTTGTAGGTGAGGAGAGTTCATTCTGACAATGTGCTTGGCTTCTCTAAGTGATAAACAGGTATAAGCTAATGAGTTTTCTTCATATATTTTGTCTCATTCCATATGACAAGAAGTCAGTAATGAAGAAATCGTCTTGCGCAGCAGGAGAAAGATTTCGGAGTTCCTCTTGTCCTGCCACATTCCAGATAACCCATAACCCAGTGGGCCAGATCCTCTGCTGTCTCAACCAGGCAGACAGAATTGGACTAACTTGAGCTTGACATACTCAGTGGGGAAACAGGCAGTATTGGTGAGGGGTAATTGCTGCGATGCCTCTGCGGGAAGAAGCTCTCTTTCAAGCTTCCTAATAGTGTTACAATTTGTGTGATATTTTGGAAACATTTGGGACAAAGTTCTCTCCTATGTGAAAGGCTGCAATACCAATTTAGTTATGATGTCTTTTCAGACTTCTCATGGAAGAACTGGTGAATTCTATTGAACGTGTGCCAAAGGCTCAGTCTGCCTCCATGTGGAAGAACAAGGAGGTACAGAGGTAAGGAACAAGCCACTCTGAAAGGGTGACTGTCCTAAAACACTAACCAAAGTTTAGAATTTACTGTAATGAGGGGTCAGCTGCCACCATTTGAGATTTGCTACTATCATTAAGCAGAAAAAAAAAGCCTAAGAGGTTTACAGCTATGACTCCTTCGGTCAGTTCTTTCTTTAATTGTTTGCACATTTTGGTCTTCCAAACAACCTCACAAGTTTGGTTCTTGGAGGAAGACTCGGTAGCACAAGTCTCCCCTGATCTGCCCTCACGTAGTTTAGCTCCATAATGGTAGATAAAACCAGCATATTTTTGTATTAACATCATAAAAAGTTGTTGAAACTAATAAGCTTTTTAAACTTCATTGTATTGTATTGGAATAATTTTAATTGAAAATGATATTTACATTCATGTTTGCTGAAATGCTAAGGAAGTCAAGACACAACTGTTGGAGGTCACTGGTGGCCAACCACAGAGTAGTGCTACCTTTCTTCCCAGGGCTGCAGCCTCTTTTACACTTGAACAGCAGAGGTGGGGTTTTTTGCTTTTCAAAGCTTAGAAGCAAATTGAAATCTGAATAAAAAAGGTTAGTTGGAAACTCCTTGTCTGTTTTTCCATCTATACATAAAAACAAGGTGCTCAAAATTGAGGTCTTCTACATCTAAAATTTTGAAAGCCTGCATAATCTAAAAATTATTCATACAGTTTACTAATTGCAGATAATGCTTTCCTTGGAAATAAAAACAACGTTAGGTGCACAACATGTTCTATGGAGGAGACAGTTTCATTTTTAGCACATTTTAAAGATAGGGCCGGTTGATTAGAAAGGTTGTTTTAAAAGCTGCTTTGTGCATTTTTAATTGATCTCCCATTTCCTACTCCTAATTCTTAACGTGGCTTGATTTAAAAGTTTACTAAAAATGAATTGTTTCGTACATTATAAAAGTAGTCTTGATATTTTCCAACATCACAAAGCAAAGAAATTAGAAATCCAAATTAACAAATGTTTAGCTGTATACTGTACTTCCCTGCTGAGCTTAGGAGCAGTCTTATCTCAGCACTATAACTCTCACTCTTCTGAAGAAGGCAAGTAAAACACAGATGTAAAACAAGACAATAAAGTCGATCAGGATTTTGTGCTGGTTGGGGTATGCTCTGATCAGTATAGTTGAGTTTTTTTGATTTTTTGGAGTCTGCTTGCCTGACCAGAACCATTCCTAAAGCTCACAGTGATGTGAAGAAAGAGGACTGGAGCCATTATTCTCGTCACACTACTGCATGTGTTTTGTATGCATAGTTTAAAGGAGGATCATATATCTTGGAGCTCGTTTAATGTCACTTTCCTGGTGGTCGTATTTTAGAAAAAGTGCTGTCTAGCACTTTGCGTGCTGTTGACTATTCCAGAGGCGAACACAGAGAGGTAGTCTTTGTTCTGATTCAACTGCTGTAGAAGGCTGGAGTCTTTTTGTTGGAGCGATATTTAAAATACATTTTTCTGTCTCGTATTGCTTGGGAAGTACCCTAACAACATGATAGTTCCTCTTTGGTACTGTCAAGTAATGGGGTACCAGTGGAGGTAGAAGGGCCTACTGCCTGGGGATTGACGGCCTCCTGTCCCGCTTACAGGACCTCTGTAGAGCACAGAGTACTGCCACAATATGGTATGTTGTTGGGAACCTCAATCGGATGGCAGGACCCCAGCTTTCATAAAATGCACACCTTGCCCAAATATGAGATAGGGGCATAGCAAAGAAATGCTATGCTAGTGGGGATAGCCAGACGTAGCCTAGCCCTCCAGCTGTTTAGTAACGTAAGTCTGTGTATCATAAACTGCCTTGAGGCTGGTATGAACTAGTGTTGTCTATGAGCTGAAACAGGGGGACTGTGCCCAACCTGTGCTCTGAGTTTCCCCCTTCAGCTCCCTATGCTTCTGTAAAATGGAGCTCCTATCCACCATAGAGGGTGTACAGGGACTTAATTAATATTTGCAAAGTGGTTTGAAATTCCTGGTGACAAGTGTCATGCAAGTGTGAGTGGAACTGATTATTATAGCATGTGAGCAAACATTTACTGATCCACACATTAACACCTGGCTAATAGCACATGCAGGGTTGGACTGACAGCCATTATTTAAGAAAATGTAATCCCTGGTGAATTATTTTTTTTAATACTTGGCTGTTGCTAGACAGAATACTTAGTATTTCTGAGTCTAACTTTAATTTTTCAGGCTGATCAATCACTGTTACTGCTTTACAGTTCAGCTAGTTCTACTCTAAATAGTTAGTATAAAACACAAAGTATTATCATCTTCATTAGATAAAGCATTGAAGCATTTTAAATGCAAATACTGTATAAAATATAATAAGTTCATTATAGTGGCTTACGTTTTTCCATTATCAGATCCAGTCTGAACTAATTGCTTAGCAAGTTTTATTACCATTGGTTTTTATTTTAAATGAGCAGTCTCATGGAAGCTCTATAGATGGTCAGCCAGGATATCTTTCACACTGATTAGGATTCAGAGGGCTAAAGAGGAAGTTTGCCTTATGAAAGACACTTTGTCAACTACCTGTTTGATGGTTTCTTATATCTTTCTGTAAAGTGTCTGAAACAGGCTGTTTCCTGAGACAGAGCAGTGGACAAGAGAGGCCAGCCTTCTGATCTAGTTTGGTACTGCCATCCTCCTCTTCCTTCAAACAAGAACATGTTATGTCATATATTAAATTATATCCTTCGCATTGAACAGGAGGGACTGTCTCTGTGCAGATGTCCAGTTAAGAACACAAGCTTCTGAGTTTCTTAAGCATAAATTTGTACACTAACCACTGGACCATGCTGCTTCGCGATACTTTCTGGTTTGTGGCTGTAGGTTGGCTCTCCCAGCATCTGCCCGCATTCATCTCATTATTATGAGGTGATCCATAATAGGATGTTAGTAGATTCACTCAGGACTTTAAAATATCCTCTAGTAACTTTCTGTACAAATTTTAAAAGTGGGGGTGACAGGTTGAATGCCAGCAGGGACACATCTGAGGAACCAGCAGTCCTCATTGTCTCTGTGTGCCACTCAGCAAAGAATGAAACCACTGGAGACTGGTGCCACTGGTCTCTGTTAGGGATCAGAGTATATTTACAGGGTAGCCACAGAGTCAAGGCTAATAGAAACTTACTTCAGTCAGCAAGGACAATTCCCCACTTTTCTTCATTACCTGGAGATACATTCTCCTCTTCCCAGAAGAGAAGCTCCTGAAAGCATCTAACACTAAATGCTTCTTATGGTAGGTTAAAGGCTTTTACAGGCACTTTGCTTCAGTGCAGTGGTGGACAACTATCCACATTGTTTGGCCTTTTGTTGCTTATGACTTCCCAAAAAAGACCTTGAATGTTTTGTTTGTTTCCTTAAGCACAGTATGCTTTCAGCCAGCATGTGCTGGAATTACAGTTATCACACTAGACCTGTACAGCGGTCTTGGCAATAGCTGGCCTTAATCCTTTCTTCAGTATCTTAAATTATGGAGGAGTTCACTGACCTAGTAGATATAACAATAAATTAAATTCCTTTAAACAAATTGATCAAAGAAACTTGACCAATTTCCATAAATCTTTGGAAATTGGTTTGAATTAGCCTTTGATTTAGCATTGGTTTAATATACAAAAAAAATCCTATTCTTCTTGCACATTTGGCAGCTGTGCTGCTTCCTGCCTCAGTTCATGTTGCTAAGGAAGATTTATTTCCCAGAAGTTAGCCATCTCTCTTGCAGCCTGTGACATTACAGTTCACTTCTTCCCTTGACAACGCTGTCCAGCTAACTTGCAATGTCTGTGAAGAGCAGAATGGATGGATTTTACTTTAGTGTAAAACATCTTAAATACTTCCGTGTAGGGGATTTCAAAGAGCTCTGCAGTGTCAGCTGATGTATCCTTGCCAGCCCACTCGGAAGGGAAGTGGGGTATCTGAGTTGAAGGCAAGGAAGCTGAGATGCAGGGGCACATGCTCTTGTAAGAGACTGGTGACAAAAATGAGAGCAGAGCCAGCCTTTGTTCATGGTCTGGTACCTGTATTTTAATCACAAGATTGTGGCTTGCTTTTGTTTTCAAGTTCTTAGGATATGCAAAATAGACACTGATCCAAGATCCCAGTCATCTCTACCAATTCTAGTGGTGCATTTCATGTTGATATGTCAGATCAGCCAGCATCTTTCATCAGTGCTGGAAATAACATAAGAGTTGCTGTAACACCTTCATCACAGCTACTTCTTTGATGAAAGGGCTGAATAGGAACAACAACAAAGAGAGCTGAAGGAGAGCAGTCTTTGGGGTGAGGCAAAACGGAGAGTGTGGTTCTGTTCCTCAACAGGCAGAAAGTCTTGCTCCTCACTTTGAAGCACCAGGCATATTTAAAATATAAAAAGAAAAAAGAGAAAAATTTAAGATCCGGAGAATATTATTGGGAGTAAAAGCTGGTGGTCCATCAGGAAGTTCTGAAAAGCCCGCATCCCGTTGATCTTTGCAGATTGCTGCCCGCCCCTCTGAAGGACGCGGTGGAGGTGTCTATGTGGAGGAAGTGCTATACCATGCCAGAAGTGAACGCTGCACTCAGTAAGATCCAGCTGGTCGGGTATTCTCAGAAAATTGTGAGTACCTGTGAAGCTGTCCTCAGGTCAAAGTAACAACTTGTTGTTTCCCAGCTTTTCTCTGGAAATGCCCTTCCTTTTCTGATTTCCCTCTAGGTCCTGTGTAAGATCTAGTTACCCTAGCCTAGGAAAACAAGATGAGATTATATTGAATGTCCCTCAGCCTGCCTCTCAGGAAGGGTTCTTGTTTGGTGAAATCAGGGAGTATCCATTTGTTTCTCCTTTTCCTTGGGGAGGCCAATTTTAAGGCAGCATACCTTCAAATTTGGAGTTGATGGCTGGCCCACTGAGAGCTGGGAGGATGTACCAAATGAATGTATCCTCTCTGTCTGTGAGCCGCATCCCCTTCTGAGTTACCATATCTCACTTCTGGGAATCTTCTGAGTGCTTTAGCCTCCACTTTCTTTTATACTGCAAATTAGGGATTGTAAACAAAACCTAATGGTTCGACCTGAACTTCCAAAACTCCTTTCCCAGGGTTCCCAGCTAACATTTGTTGTCTATAAAGCCATTGACTATAATCCATTGTAGGTGCTAGAATGAACTGAACCAACAATTCTGCAGATACACTGTTCCCTTATGGCCTGTAGGCAGTATGTGGGCCATGATACCTGCTATTGTTGCTGAGGGCCGTAAGAAATAAAAAGGTGGGTTAAAGTAAGTTGTGTACCCAAAGCTTTTTATTTGCTCCTTTTTCTTAAGCAATGGGCCACTGAAGTTTGGAGACTGCCGTTTATGTGTAAGACAGTTTGAAACAGTAACCAGTGCTGCTGTGTACTAAATTTGGTGGATTTGGGTTTTTGTGGTGCTGTACTATAGCTGGTGAAAAAAGACCCTGAGCCACCACTAACATGGTTGCTGACATAAGTAACACCTGGAGCTTTGTCTAGCAACTGGATGGGTTGAAGGCATTTGGACTCCTCAATATTCGTGGGTGGTTACTGTTAATTTTCAACTATCCTCACGGTGTGGATGTATCTTGCCTAATTTTAGATCTGTGCATCTGAGCCAATCGTTCTTTTATAGTTACTGGGAAAAGAGACATATTTTATCTCTTCCCAAAGCTAACTTTTAAAATAATTGGACCCTAATTTGCCAGTAAACCCAAAACTGGGTGACAGCATCAAGAATGGCTTGTTGTCCATTTTACATGTCTGCATATCAGCAGAATCTAGAGCCTTGGTTTATACACTCTGAGGGATGGAGGCCCTGCCTTGTTTTGCAAGGCATCCAAATATGTATTGAGATACTAGAAAAATCATTAGTATTGCATGAATCAGATGCTTGTTCCATTATTCAGTAACCAGAAGGTAGATCACATTAGTGAGGTATATATGGAGGCTTATTTTCCTTTCTCAAAACAAGTATAACACATTACTGTATACAGATAAAGCAATACACTTTCTAATGACACCTGGAAAGCAGACCACATCAGGTTGCTTATGCTTGGAGCTGAAACTGCAATTTGGATTGGGTTTGCACAGTGTTGTTTCTAAATCACCAGTAGATAGCATTTAAAAAGAAATAAAGTTAGAAAGTGAGTTTGAAGTTAAGTTTATGTTTTCCACAGCAAAAAGTGTAACCCAAACAGAGTTTTATATCAGCATGGAACTACTTGTCCTTCCTTCTCTCCTGCTGGCCAATACCAATAAAATTTGACTAAGGGAGTATAGAGTCTTCAAAGATGTAAAGCTCCTACAAGCTTCTTCAATACAGCAAAGGCAGGCAGAGGATCAAGACCCCAGCTGATTCCTCTGTTTAGAGTTACGGCTCCATGTGAACTCAGCTAGATGCCATAGAATTCACATGGAAGAGAGACTTTATGAAGGTCCTACCTCAGGAAAAGCTTTTCTCAGAGTATGTGTCCTGTTAGACATGGGTAAATAAAAACAGCAGACATAAAGCTTGGGAAACTAGCTTCATAAAGGCTTTGAGTAGCAGAACTACTTTTAAAATTGACATCACTGATGATAAAATGACCTGTTTGACTTCTCTTGGGGGTTCACTCAAGTTAATGTCTCTTGCTGTGTGTTTCAGGAGCTGTTTGGTGCTGTGCAGGTCACCCCTCTCAGCTCGGGCTATGCTCTTGGAAGTTCCAATTGGATTATCCAGTCACACTATGAAAAGGTTTCCTATGTTTCAGGATCTTCCCTACTTACAACACACCCTCAGGTACAGCCTCTGACTTTTGTTAGTCTTCTACAGGGTGAAGTGTCTTTGCTCCAAAAAAAGGGAGGGGCTTATTCCAGCTGGGATCAGGTGTAGTATAGAAGCTGTACTAAGGTACCTCTGTTAGCAATTGTCTAGACTTAATAGGTGTTGAGAAGACATACTACCCTGATACGTGTACAGGTATCAATAGTTACTAGGGAAAGACAACTAAAATTCTTTGTTATCTATGATTTGATGTTAACTTACTCACCAGCTGGGAAATTCTCCTTCACCTTAAATAGGAAATTTTCGACAGAGTTAAACAATAGAGCATTAGTGACTTTTTTTAAAATCCATATTTCACTGAAGAGTCTTTACAGGCAGTTCACAGCCTGCTTCTATATCACTTCTGAAACATCCTTCCTTGGGAGAAATGATAGCTAACTGGCTGCCAACTTTTCCACCCTGCTCTGCTAAGGGCAAAGTCTTTATAGTGCTGTAGATGTAATTTCCAGTAAATTAATTCTCTCTAGATCCATAAATTCTTAGTGCGAAGAATGGCTTGAAGTTTGCAGTACTGTATGCTTCAGAAGTTGTCAAAATAGTTAAAAGCAATATTAGCAGGAGGTATTTAAAAATAATTTAGAAAATGTGTCAGGTTCATGATCAGTAAGTAATTTCCCCCAAGGTGAGTATCTTCTAAAGAGCTTTGCTTCTGAGCATCCTTCATTTAAAAGCTTGATCTCAGGAGCTGAACAACTGCAATAGATAAACCATCCTTAATAGTATGGCTGTACTTAGCTACATGCAATGTATCAGAGTCTCTAAATCCCTTTTTCTCATCAGCCTCATACTGGCCTGCATAGTGCTCTTTCGTCACCTTCTAGTGAAAGAGCAGCAGCAGTGTTTGACAATATATGAGTGGAATATTTCTGTGAGGAGAAACTTTGCACTATAAGAAGTAGTTTGGTGACTGAGAGTGTTTTCTCTTAATTTACATGAAATAGTGATTCAGTTTATCACGTTAGACTGGCCATGCTTCATCATTTTCCAAAGGTGAACATTTCTCTGGAAACTTCTGGTAAAGTCTGTGGTTTTAAGGAAACTACCTCCCTGTGGCAGGGAATGGTGTGTGAATGAACTGCCGGTAAGAGTACAGCCCATGGGCAGCAGATGTGCACTCACTGCAACCTGCAGCAGAAGTGGTGGCAGTTAGACAGGACAGTTTCAGCTTTAATGAGTGCAGGAAACTGTACTGCAAGCCTACCTGAATCCCTAGGGACCTACGCTGTTTGCTAACAAGATATGAAACCTGGACTATTCACTCTGCTGACAGTGTTGCTTGTCCCACATGCTCTCCAAGACCCTCATTTTTTAGCATAAGGTCCATTGCACTTTGCATTATTTTATACTAACACATAGTTTGAAGGAATAGCTTGCCAGATAGTTGAAATTGCATTCATTTTGCCTTTTCCTTGTTATTTACCACATCACAAATGTTCCCAGATATCATTTGCATTTCAGATACCATCATCATCTTATATTTCCTTCCAAGTGGTTGTTGAAGACAATGGATAGTTCTTGTTCTAGTTTAAATCCCTGTGAACACCAGTACAAGCTCCTACAATATGGTCATTTTGTAATGCCTAGTGCTTTTTGTGAGCTGCCAACCAGCTCTTCATCTATTTGATGTTTGACAGACATTATGTAATGATAACAATATCTTGAGTGGCACAGAGTCAAAAATTGTGTTCAACAAATCAGCATGTTTTCATCAGGGATGAAAAGTTGTTTGTCTGACCTGTTTTTCCATAGAATCATGGTAAGCAGTCATAATGAAATTCCTATCTTTTAACAGTGTATGGAAACAGTCACTGCATTTTGTTTTAAAAATTATATCCAGTTAATCAGCATATATTTATGTAAATACATATCCAGAGCTTTTTGAATTATAGTAAAACCTTAGCACTTTTGCAGTCTTCTGGAACTCCCTCCATAGTTATTAAAAACGGGCATCAGTTGACCAAGCTCTCATCAGCCGTTTGTTTGTTTAGGGTGATAAGACACAGATTATTTGGGCATACAAATGGAAGAAGGCTTCTTCCTCTTACATCTTGTCTAATATAAACAGTAATAGCCTGGAAAGCATTTCCTTCTCTCAAGGTGCAAACAGGATAAAGTTCATCTTGCTTAACTGAAACTGGGCCCCCACCCAGGCCTTCCCTCCTTCTCCCTTTTGCCAGCACTGGGATTTAAGTGCTGACATAGTGGAGATGGCAGCACGGGTGGGAATTATCAGTCATGGGAAGGATCGCTTCTTTGGTATAAATTACACCTTAAAGTTTTCTTGAAATTTTAAGTTGCATCTAGGTTACATCTATAATCAGCAGAGAGTTATGGTACATCTGTAGTAATTCCATCTCTATTAACAACAGATAGAAAGTGAAGCAGTTAGCTTAGCTTAGACATGGCCCAGGATGTGCAGATTAGCTGAAACTGGGTGCAGTGAATGCTGGTTGTTGGGTTGATCTTGGATGCAGCAGCAGGAATATCTTGTGAAATCCGCAGTGGGTCTGTAGGAAGTGCAAGTGAAGGGTTCAGCAAGACTGTATTCATAGCTGCTGAAAATAACTGAAGAGCTTTAAAGAGTTTGTTTGAGAGTTCAGTCTGGCACCATTAATTGTTCCCTTTACTTCTGTCTTCTGGCAGATGGTTTCTGTTGAAAATTTTGCTTCACCCTCTACTGAGGCTAGAATTGACACTGTTGCCACTGAAGTGGAGAACAGGAGTTGACAGCATAGGTTCAGACATGTCACTAAAAGCCTTTTAAGACATATTCTTTACATTAACCCACAAAAATCAATGCAAGCCCTCTCAGTGCAATAGCAGCTGAAATTATGCGTATCTAATACGGCATAATCATTACGTACATTATCACAGGCAGATTCAATATTATTTTTTATTGCATTATTGGCATTTCATTTTCACAGACATGCTATGTAGAGTCAAAGATTGCAATAAATCTCACGTAACAGGTCTGGTCCTGCAAGGCAGTGCACAGTGTAAACTTCTGTCAAAGTTGATGTGAAATTCCCCTGCATGTTTGACAGAGCAAGGTCTTTTTCAAATAAGGAATGGCACTGAGGGACTGTGAGCAAGGGAATTAGCTACACAGTGATCATCTAAGTTCAGTAGAGGAAATCACTTCATCAGTCTCTTCTGGTAGAAGTCTTTCTGTTTGATGAGACTAGAGAGAGTCTATTAAGAATAAATAACCATAAAATACCATGCAGCTGGCTACAGTTGCCTACCTTTGCTTGAATAGTAGCTGTGGGAAGTGCATCCCAGCCCAGAGTGAGACTTAAAGTTAACTTTTCACCATAGCTGTCGTGCATCTGCAGAGAGAGAAGTAGATTTTGCCTTTGCAAGATTGAATTATGCTAAATTTTGAGTATCAAGAATATATATTTAGTATCAGGTCACACTTAAGTATAATTCTGAACATCTACTCTGTTTGCTAATGGAGAGAAGTGGGTATGCATTTTCATTCTGCTTTAATAAAGTGCCGGTATAAAACATGTCAAATGATTGACCTCAGTGAAAAAAGTGTGAGCCTTTATGCACAGTAGACGCAAAAGCAAGGTTTGCTCTAACATTAGACTGCCTGCCAGTCACCAAGTTGCCACACTGTTTCCTTGGACCATTTAATCGTCAGTCCCTCTGCTGAATCTGTGAGCCACAAGATAGACTGTGCAGGTATAAACTCTTCTGTCCACCAGGAAGCAGACGTGGCATGGATAGATGCTCGTGATAGCTACCCTCAGCACTGCATAATCTAGGATTGTACCTATGACTGTAGGTCGTCAGTACAACATACACTGTAGACCCAGCTGATCAGAGGTCATAGCCCTGTGAAGTCATTTATTTCACTTTGACATAGCTTAGCCTCTAGCACAGTCTTCAAAGAAAGGTATTGTAGGAGGGCATAGTGCTAAACTGATTCACTAGGGGGAGACTAGGAAGCCAAGTCATATTTTCTCTTATTTTAGCTCTGGTGTTGCATTGGGAGCACTATTTTTTTGCATGGTGGGGTTTTTTTTGTGCAGTTGAAGCTATGATTTTTCATCTGTTTTCAACTGCTGACTTTTAAGGAACTACTTGTCTGTTTGGCCTGATACTATAGCTACATTAAAAAATTAATATGTGTAAGTGATTATTTCTTAGATAAATTAACAAAATTTATCACTATTAAGGAATCTAAACCCATTTCTCTTTTCTACCAGCAGTAGCCATTTACCATTTCACAAAACCAGACTTCTTAAAAGGCCTGTGCAAACAATCTGAAATGAGTATTTGAAAGTCATGGTTGTAATACTGTGGGCAGAAGAGCAGACTTCACAGTCAAGGGAAAGCCTTGTGTGGCGTTCAGATTCATACACAAAATTGAGAGCTTCAAGCCCAAAGTCCTTTCCTGATCTTATCTCTTCCAAAGAGAATCCACTGAATGGTTGAGGAAAATGGTACTGCCCCCTGTAGACAGTGAGCCCTGGAAATCAAAGCTGACACCTTCATTTGCAAAGGGAAGGGAGAAGGAATGCAAGTGTCAAACCGTTCCTGACTGTACTGCCACATCCTCGGCAAAGTATTGCCTTTTCAGTGTTGAGCTCTTGAGGCCATGAAATGATTAGTCTATGGAGACTACTTTGCAATGGATCCGGTTACAGTTCTGTTGTTTGTTTTGGGCTGTGGTATGCAGGTAAACAGTTGTATGTATTTTTATTAACTCCAATTGGGTTTTCACAGATGGAGGAATGTTAAGTTTAAAGTGTTCCATGTGTTCTCTTTCTTGGTCGCTGTACCTATTTTGTATTGCAGTCGTCTTGGTACAGAGCAGAGAAACCTTGTGTTATAACTCTCGTTACTCATTTTATTTCACTGTGCTGTGTTTCAGCCCATGGACCAGGCTTCTCTTAAAAATAGTGATGTTCTCATCCTGACGGGTCTTACACAAATCCCTACTGCTAACCCAGACGGCATGGTAGGAGAGTTCTGCAGCAACTTGGGTAGGTCATTGAAAGAAGTCTTTTGCCTATTTTATCATTTTATTTATTGCTTTGGGTGGGAAATAATTCTGAGATTCCTGGAATTGAATAAGTTGTCCAGCTATAGCTTCTGGCATAAAACTAGCTGTTTAGATTTTACGATGTGCTCCTGATGTCATTAATACAGTAAGTGCTTGGAGAGACACAAGTTGTACCTAAAATGTTTTGGAATGGAACAGGTATAATGAGTTTTAATCATCTGCTGCTCTTGGTTTGCTAAGTATGTCGCTTAGCTGCCAACAGACTACGTGTTGCCTAGGTTTTGGATATTGTTCCCAGCTGAAATATTACTATTTCCTTCCTGTATATCAGCCAGTGTAAAATCTTTACATGCTTTTTTTATGACTTTCAGTTTTGAAAACAAGCACATCTGCTTCCCTTCTTACACCTGATTTTTAAATATATCAAAAGCAAACAGCACAATCTCTGTTTAAAAAAATATATCAAGATGTATTTATAGACCCCAGAAATATAAAACCTAATCAGACGCTTTCACAGCTGGAAAAGCTGATAATTGCAAAGCTGTGATATCAGTGTGAATGGCAGCATTTTCCTGTCTGTTTGGAATATCACATCCAGTGCTGTTCTCTCCTTTTCTCCCCTTCCCCCACCTCAGTTCCTCTGTGCTCTCACCCTTCTGTCATCAAACCACTTTCTCATGTCTGTCCTGCTGTATATTACCTGTTCTTTTATCAGAGGTCTTCCTTTTATTTTAAACTAACTACTTTTTACAAATAAGCTTAAAAAGCTTGTGATAAGAGGATTACTACAAAGGTTATCAAAAGACATTAGGAGTCTAAATCAGGGAATCCTCACTGTAAGCAAGTGTTCTGGCCCCTGTTACACACCTGGGAGAAATTTGAGCTATAGTATTTAGGTGGCTTACCCAAGATTGCAGAATAAGGCTGAGAACAGAACAGAAGTGCAAACAATTCTTAGTCTTACTTTTTACATGTGAATGTACCCTTGGTGAAATAAAAACACACAATACTTTGGTTTTTTTCCCATTCTAAAATGCTTGTGCGTGTTCACAAGTTCTGAATATCTGTGTACTGTCTCACAGTCACAGTATGAGACTGCCATGGTAGTGGAAAGCAAATGATACAAAGGATGTGGTAGATTTCTCCATCATCTAAATCAAAATCAGATATCCCTGTTTAGGACAAGTTTCGGTTCAAACAGGAGTCATGGGTCCTGTTGTCGGAGGTGCAAGGTAAAATTATGTGGGTTTTGTTTATATGAAAAAACAAGTTACAGGGTCAGGATGATTCATTGTAGTGTAAATACCTATTAATAGAGTGTGTTTTGGCATTTTATAAGAATTGTAATCTTGGATTATACCGAAGATCCTCTCTGCCAGCATCCTGACTCCAGCAGGAATCATGAGCAGATGTCTAGCGCAGAGTAGAACAACAGGACAAGACTACATAATACTTTCCCCTTATAATCTCATAGCCTTTAAGTATTTTTATTTCAGGAATTTCCTGAATCAGACATGGCTTTTGTGTAGTTAGTAATGTTCAGTGGATTTCTGTTCCAGGAACTTGTTCAACCTCCCCTTGAAGCTGTGTTAGTTCTTAACACCTGTGATTTGCTTTCCTAGGTGATGCATGTGTTTGTATGTGTGTGTGTATTACTGTCTGTGTTTTCAATGTTTTTAAGCATTGTTAATTTTATTACCCTATGAGCTGTCGCAGATAAGCTTTGGTGACCTTGTTGTGCTAGATCCAGATGTGCTGCTCTTCTCTGTCCCTTCTGGACCTTTATGGGGGTTACTGCCCCCTGACAGATGGTAGCATGGTCACATCCTATCATCTTACCTTAAGCCACCAAGGAAGCAAGTCTGAGCTGAAATGTTAGACTTTGTACTGGAGAGACCGAGGACTGGTACATGTTGCCCCGCTGCCAACTCTGCTGCAAATGTGCTCTAGCAAGCACCTTGGTGGTCACTCGTGTCTTGAACTGCAACAGCTGTATGCTGAATAAACAAGAGTGAGACTGTTGTTAATGAAAATGCTTTTAAAAATTAAACAAAGTCTTAGAGATGTAGCTTAGGCCAAAGCAAAATCCAAAAGATGAATGCATGTAAGTAAATGTGTTACATATGTAGGTACAGGTGGGTGTTCACCTGCACAAGTTGTTCTGGTTTACAGAAACATTCTGAACTATTTTGAGGGTTTTGCGGAAGGTCTTCAAGCCAGCTTCTATCTTGAATGAGACAAACTCAGAGAAATTAGAAAACTAGTAAAGACCAAAGGAAGATATATGCTTAAAATGATGCCATTGTAAGAATCTGGAATTTGAGTGATATTTAGCAAAAAAACACAGCGACCTGAAGAAATTAAATAACGCCATGAATAATGTAGTGGTAGGGCTGTCTTTTACATAACACCAGCAGTGTTTACACATCTACCCCAACATCAGGAGAAGAAAATAGTGGATCAGTTTTCTTTCAAATGTATAAAGAAGTCCAAAATGCAGTTGGTTACTGGGAAAAGCTATAGAGTAGGCAATCTGAGCACAGTAGTTTTCATATATTTTTCCCATTTCCGAAATGTTCAGGGGACTTCAGAAGAAGCTCAGAATACACTAGGTAAAAACTCTAAAGCAGGCACTGGAAAGTTACCAAAAATGTGTATCATGAGGTAACAGCACGTTTGTGAGTAAGTCTTGCAAAGCACAGAAATGGAAGTGTGAAAATTTCACCTTGATCTCTGTTTTCATCCCTGCATGTAGAGTTGTAGATGCTGATTTCCATTATTACCAAGTCACATGCATGATTTCCTCTCCGCATTGTGTGTGCAGCACTGAAACCATGCTTTGTCACATCTCCAAGTTCTTCTCAGTTTAGCTCAAACCCCTTTTTTCTGTGCTCAGCACTGCAGCACCAGCACTCTGCAGCTCGAGAAAAGCAATTGTATTTTTACATTGCCTTGGGCATCATCAGCAAAATTGCCAGACTGTCTGTAGGGACAGTTTGTGATATTTTGTGTGCGTGTGCGGTCGTGCCTCTGTGTGTGTGTGCATGTGTTTATATAAAGCAGAAAAGAGCACAGTTTGCTTTTTAGGTGCCAACTTGACCTTGTGGTGGCAGCTGTTCGAAAAGCAAGTATCTCATTGTGAGTTGTAAATTGAACAACTTGTTACGGAGCTACTGAAGGAGACTAAATTTGAAATGCCAAGATTATTATGCAACTTTTATCAAGAGAGTGCATCCATCAGTCACAGAGATAAATTGGGCTTTAAACAGCTTTCGAATATACGTGTCCTCTTAGTGACAACTGTAGAAAGTTGCCGTAGTGGCGCATAGAGCCAGATTGGACCTGCTGCTTGCATGGGAAGCAATATGCTTGTAAAGGTTTTCATCCCTGTTTTGGAGAAGCTCAGAGGTAATTCTTATCCCTTTATGGAACCACTTAACAGCACCCTCAAGAAGTAGGGCCCAGCTGTGCTGACCCCAGCACTTAGAAATAAACTTGCACGGTGAAACTGAGTAGTGTATTCTAAACCAAAAAGCTGTCACACAGAGCGTTGTCAGAGGTGGTGGCTTTCCTGTCCCGGTGACTAGGAGTATTCACCAGGCCAGTTACAAAGGTGCATCCCCATACTGCCAGAAATGTGAGATTCAAGGGGCCAGCAGCCCTGGGTTGGTGGCCTAGTGGGTAGGGCAGCTGGCTGGAAGAGTGCTCTGTTCCGTAGATTGTGATTTTATATTAATTATTGGTAACCAGCTCTGTGGTTTTCATAGGAACAGAAACTCAAGTTGGTGTCTTCTCCAAGACCTTACCCTCTGTTATTTTCTCTGTGGCCCCAGGAATCTTGAACTTCTGGTTGTTTTCAACAGAAGAGGCTTGAGGTTCCCATAGCAAGCCAATGGCTGCAGGGAAGGGAGAGCTGTGAATTCAAACTCTGAGGCTTAGGAATGAAACACGTTTTTCATGGCCCGGACAAATTCTTTAACCAGCCCATCTTTAGATGAAAGCTCTTCCTCCTGCCTCCTCGGAGGGAGGAGGGAGCCATTCGTCTTAACCAGGTGAAGCTAGTTGGTGCCGGAGTGAAAGAAAAAGGAACCTGTTTCATGGAGACACACACCTTGGTGTTTCAGCCAGTATCTTTGTTCAGAGCAGAGACAGAGCTGCAGACATAGCCCTTTCTGTAGCATTTTCCACTTAATCACTAATGCTCCCTGTCTCTGGCCCATGCAGCATTCTTGCTGCTGTGATTATAGGTACTTATCTTTCCTCTTTGCAGAGTTTTTGGGTGCATAATGAAGCAATGGCAAATTCTGATCCTGGAGCCAGAGGCTTAACTTTCAGCCCCCAGATGGCTTTGAAAATATCGTTCGTAATCTCCTCATTCCTCTCTTCACATCCTGTTTACAGATGGGATAGTTTAGACTTACCCATGTAAGAGGGATAATATAACACATTGCTGGGATGTTTTCTAATATCTCACATTCTAGAAAAATGTAAAGTATTGCTATTCATATTCACAAGTATTTTGATGGTATAGTTTTGTATGTGACCCAGAGAAAACCTAGGCAATAAACCCACTACGCTGCATTTAATAACTCTGATACAGAAGGTGTCTTTGACCACCAGTTGTTACTGACAGCAGTGTGTAATAGGCACTGACGGCTAAAAGGAGTTAAGCACCCAAATGCATGTGAAAAATCCTACTACGGAGTCTGTGCATTTCCCTAACTCCATAAAACCTTTAAATATTCAGCCATAAAAATCTCCCTTGAGCATGTAGGTGGGGCAAAAAGACCCTTAATGTGCTAAATCCATACCCTATCAAAGCTTGTCAATAAATTGAAGTCAAGGAATCGATTATGGCAGGGCGTAATATATGTGTTTTCAGGCTCTTCCACAGCTTTTTGTGTAATGCCTTGATGCATAATGTTACTGCTGCTGCACTGCAATTAACATCAGTAGATGGTTTTACTCCATGACCACAGATTAAATCCTAGTGAGGCAGCAATTGCTCAGTGAGCTGGACAAAATATTTCCATTTTCCCATAAGGTACAGCATTTTTGTAATTCATTCTGCCAAAAGAACAAAGTATATGCTCTGTACTTGCTTTTGCTGTTGTACTCAAATCTGTTTCAATTACAGAGTAAACCTATTTTTTCTTTTCTTCATTTTTCTCTAGTCCCATGCTGTCTACAATTCACAGAGATTTTAAATTGTTCTTGTTATATTGAAAGGACAGAAATATTTAGAGCTTTTAAAAAGGAGAAACACTCCACCACACACTTCTACCTTTGAGGGCTGTTTGAAACAACCACATCTTCAGCCTTTCATTTAGAGCACTGAAAACTGAGTACAGAACAGTTTACCATGTGTAGTGCTTTCAGCTAAGCCCTGTGAACTGTTGTCCTTCCCCTCTGGTGGACAGCTAATAGATGGAGCAGGGTTTATTTTGATGGTAAGGTGTTTTGTGTCACTCATTTATCCTCATGTGCCAGTGCAAGACCGCCCTCTCGTGTCAAGAGTTTTGCATGTGCTCAGTCTGTTACGTGGCCCCCCCAGCTAATGGAGTATAATCGTTCGCTCCACTAAGCCTGGAGGAGGCAGTATATAGATGTATTTAATGATCAGAAGTGTTCCTCCCAATTCGTATGCATAATGTGTTCTGCTTATTCATGCAAGAGCTTCTTTCTATACCTTATGTAATATTTGGATTAAAGGAATTATAGTAAAAACTTTAAATATGAACCCTGCTAATTGATTTTTACTTTCTCGCTCCTTTAGCTATGACTGTCCGGAATGGAGGAAATGTGCTGGTTCCCTGTTACCCCTCTGGAGTAATATACGATCTGCTGGAGTGCCTGTATCAGTATATTGACTCTGCCGGACTCTCCAATGTCCCTTTTTATTTCATCTCACCTGTTGCCAACAGCTCCCTTGAGTTCTCCCAGATCTTTGCTGAATGGTAGGTGTTAAAGGGCTGCTTCATCACCCTCAATTCACGCACTCAGCTATGGTAAATAGATATATGCAGGTTATCTCTATTTGACATATTCTAATATATACTTGATTTGAATTGTGAACACGTTTCTTGAGTCACAAGGGTGTGCGTGCGTGTGTAAGTAGATGTTCTATAATTAGGGAAGCGTAATTTCCTATAGAATGTACAAACTCAATCTGTGCTTTTTGGTACTTGCACTGATGATTAAATTATGCACCTGACTTGAGTGAATTTTAGCTGTGCCTGTTCGCACGTCTTATCCAGTGCCCCCAAAACTATACGATGGTCTCCCTGTATAAGCAAAATAGATTTTTCAGGCTTAATTTTGCTGAGCCAGCAATGTATTTTCATGGCCAAAAAAAAAAAGCCAACAGTATCCTAGGCTGCATTAGGCAGAGCACTGCCAGCAGGTCAGGGAAGGAGATCCTTCACTGCTCAGCACTGGTGAGGCTACATGGAGAGTGCTGTATCTGGTTCTGGGCTCCCCAGTACAAGAAGGATATGAGCTTACTGGAGCAAGGCCAGCACAGGGCCACAAAGATGAGGAGAGGCTGAGAGAGCTGGGACTCTTCAGCCTGGAGAACAGAAGGCTCGGGGGGGATCTTATCAATGTATAGAAATACCTGATGGGAAGAAGTGAGGATGAGGGAGCCAGACTCTTCTCAGTAGGACCCACTGACAGAACAAGAGGCACAAATTAAAACACATGAAATTCCATCTGAACAAAAGAAACACACTTTTTTACTGTGAGGGTGGTCAAACACCGGAACAGGTTGTGCAGAGAGGTTGTGGAGTCTCTATGTATGGAGACACCAAACCCCAATTGGACGCAGTCCTGAATGACCTGCTCTAGCTGATGATGCTTGAGCAGGGGCTTGGACTAAATGATCGCAAGAGGTCCCTTCCAGCCTCAACCATTCTGTGATTCTGAGCCATGCAAAGGAGAACCCAAACACTTGTAACTGTTCCTAAATTCTTACAAATGGAGACGTGCTCTAGGTTATTAGAGTAAGTTAACTTTTTCCTTCCTTTCTTCTGCTCCAGATTTTTTAAGTCTGCAGTTCAGGAATGAAGAGAGAGGTCCTGGAAATCTTATGTGAATTGATCCCTTAGGAGAATTGTAAAGAGGATTGAAATCTGGTGAATTTTAATCATGTTACTCTACGCAACAGTAGGAAAATCAAGCCTAGGTATTCTGGCCAAACTTCAGTGTACTCACCAGGATGTTTTGGCTCACATAGTTTATAGTTAAAAAATTGTTTGGTTTGTACTTACATGGTGATTCCATTTCAGTAGCAGTGGAGGTGGTAGCTGCATAGTTCATTCTTGTTACAATAATACTGCCAGGGATGTTACTTGTGCCAGTTGGGTTGTTGTCTGCTGTGTCTAGCCAGGATTCAGACACCCAAGTGTTTTTTTGAGTTCCACTTGCTGTAGTGGCTTATATTCAAAAGTCAAAACTAACATTAACTAATCTCCAAACACTTCTGTGTAAGGTGAATGTTTCACTTATGTGAAAATGGAGGCAGAGGTTGAACATCTGTAAAATAGAGGTTTGGGGTCAGAACTGGGGTAGAAATTCACGGATTCCAGCCTTCCTATTCTACTGTTTAGTCAGCTGAAAGAAATGTCCTGCTCTTAAGTATCTCTTACATTTTATCAAATTTAGTTTGACCCAGGCTTATTGCTTTTTAATAAAGTGAAGAAAATACGAGATGGGTAGTGTTTCCCAGAAAAAGCCACCAGGACAGTGTCACTACAGATAATTGTAACATCACACAGACCTCTGACAAATATCTTTTTTTAACTTCTGTAATAGGATGAATCAGGAGTCTGGCTAGAGCTAATCAACAACTTTCAATATTTATGTTTTAAAAATAAATGATTGATGTAAAACAGCAGGTAACAGTGAGCATTATGCCATGGTCAGGGGCTGTTTACCGACATTGTAGCTGCAATAATAAAATGCATAAGGGAATTAGATTATAATGAACAAAAGGACCAAGTCACTGCTAAGAAGTGGGATGAGGCAAGTGGAATTTTTCTGTTGACAAGTGATTTGGCTTTGCAAAAACTGCTGAGGTCTGGACTATGAATTGATGTGGATGTTGAGTTACAAATTTGTCTTCAGCAGCAAAGGAGTTCTGTTACATACTGTCTACAAAATTACTTTCAGCTGTCTTGCATCTTCTCTACATGATCTCGCTATGACTGAGTTGTCCTGTCCTGTAGGTGTTGGTCCTCCGAACAGAAAGGCTGGAGGCAACAAAACAAATTGGCGATTTTGCACCTGATGCCACAGATAGGAAGTGGCTTTCTCCAGAAAAAGTTTAACAGTAGATGGCAGCAGATAACTGCAGGATGTTCTGCACCTCTCTAACCCAGCTGATTTTCCTTTTCTTTTAAAGGTTGTGTCATAACAAACAAACAAAGGTATATCTTCCAGAACCTCCTTTTCCCCATGCTGAGGTAAGGAAACCATGGTCTTACTGTTTGCTAAGATCACAGAGTGATAGGGTTTCTGGAACAGTCCTGTGTGGCTGTTGTTTTTATGATGAATGCTTCTGCAGCTTTTTAATAGTTCTGTGTCATTATTCATACAAGTTTGGGGTTGGTTGTTTTTTTTTCCCTTTGCTTTCTGTGATTAATTTGGGAGTGTGGGGGAGGAATGAATGATGGTGTTCCCTCAACTCAAAAATTATCATGATGTTTATTTCAGTGTATAACTTACATATGCTCGCCTGTTTTACTTCTTCCCCCGCAGAAGGCTATCTGGCATACACATGGTTGAATGTTTGCTCTTATCAGACTGCAACCACGAATATTCCCTTTGTCCAAGCAGTTTATTTCAAAGTCTGTAAAACTAAGACTTATCAGACTTATCAGAGACAGCTTAGTCATCCCAGCTCCTACCTCCCTAGCTGAAATAGGCACCATGTTGTCTGCTGCAGGAGAAATGGTATCTTGAAAGAGAGGTTTGATATAAAAAAGTTAAAGCTGCAGCACTGAGTGCCGTCACTGGCAATTTTAAATGAAATTACTTGAGCTAGCATCTTAGTGAAGCAAAGAGGAATCAGATTCCTATCTTTGGGGGGAATCTCCCTGCAACATATGTTGAGGGGATATTCCCTGCAACAAAATAATTTGAGGGGAAGTTTTAGCCAACCAAACATTAAATAAATGTGGCATAACTCATGCCTTCAGAGTTATCTCACATATCAAGAAAGGAAATCTTACTTTCTCCACTGGGAACAGGTAGATTTCCCACTGAAGTAAATGAGAGTCAGGCTGGGAAAGGAAGAAATGGGACTGAGAAATAATTTTGGCTAAATCCTACTCCTGCGAGACAGTGAGCCCTTTGGGGCATGCAGTCTCAGAAAACTGACTCTTTTAGTTCCTGTGGTCAAAACTGTTTGATGAGATTTGCAAAGTGGCCATTAAGAGTCCAGGGATTAAAAGCTTTTTCAGGCATTGTTGTTTTTTGGGTTTTTTTTTTCCCCTCTGAGATATCTCATCCAGGGACTTGTTCTGGAAATTGCTATTGCCCATCATATATGTCATCTGTAGGTGTTTCAAAGGCATTTTTGGAAGTAGGATCTGACAAGAAGCCCTCACTCTCTCCAGATGCTTGGAATGCATTTCAGGCAGGATGCACAGTGAATTACGTGCAATCTGTTACCAAGAATAATGCAGACTGCAGGGCAAGTCACCTATTCACCACTGGTTTTGTAACCAAAAAATTCATTCACCCCGATAAATCAATTCCAAAGCCTGATCTCTGCATACAAGACTGTAGCCATGCTGCTGGCTATGCTTTCTGATTTCCCATGCCCCTCTGCTTTCTGGGGTGTCCTTGTTGATCCACTGTGTCACTGGTTTCACTGACAGCCTATATTCTACCAAAGACATTGCTTCAAAATTTTAGTTCACAATATGCACTGGAACTGGCAGGTTTAAGTGAAAGTGCTTCCAAAAAAGAGAAGCCAAACATGCAGCTGTCGAAGACTGGATTAATTAATCCATTTTATATGATGGGTATTTGTGTTTATAGACTGATAACTGTCTCCTCTAATTTTTAGGATATTTTATATTCTCCAGAGGCCTGTTGATAATGAGATTTTGTCAAATTATTGTTTAGCTGTTGAGACATTCCTCTGTGCTTCATGTGTAGATCAAGGTAATTATCTAGGAAAGAACTCACAGCAGTAGATAACAGATCAGTTTCCTTGTGACAAAATGCAGTGCACAGAGGGAGTAATGTGCTTGTTACAGGTACAGGCTTTGGTTGACGAGGCCAAATCATACAGGTTATGACCCACAAAGCTAGGGACATTTTATCATGAGATGCACAAACAGCTTTATCTAGATCCATGGATATCATTGATAGGAAGCCATTCTTAAGCTTCTTGCATTTTTGCCTAAGGATTGCCTTAAATGTGCTAAATGACACGATATACTCGGTATGCACATCCTTGTGGCTCCCAAACTATGAAATGGCTGTAGCCTTTAGGCATTTCAGACTGAGCTGCCATCTGAAGTAAGTACTGTACATTTCACAGTAAGTCGTCTAACACAGCTTAGATTGTGTGTTTGGGTGTTCAATTAGAGCTGCTGTATAAACACTGGAAAGTGGAGTAAACGCTGGGAAGCAGAGCAACCTGCACTACCCCCACCTGGTGATGGACTAAACGGGTCTCTTCATTGTTGATTCCTGGTACATACTGGCTGTTCTGCAAAACCAGTTTGTATGGTGGGAGGCAGCGGCCCTAGGCATACAGCAACACTCTTTCAAAAGCCTGGCTTAATAGCAAAACCAAGACAAATTAATACCTAGGTAAAGAAAGACTGAGGCTGCTATTTCATTTGGTGCTTTTCCTACGGTCGTAAATCACTGAAGTTTAGACGTGCTTGAAAATACCTGATCAGATTGCTCCTTTCCGTTCTGTAAGATTCATTATTTGGTTTAGTTTGGTGTTAAACGATCAAAGCATATTGAGATTTATATAGATGACTGACATGTAAGACACCCATGCTCACCAACACAGCACCAAGATGTTCATTTCGGGTACGCAGTGCTCAGCACGTGCCTTTGATTCCTTATTGCTGTCCTGTGAGGGACAGCTACTGTCATCCTTTTGCTCATGTAATCTCACTGCCTTGGGCTGCATTCCAGTTTTAGTGGTACCTACAGCTGGTTATGGTTTAATGCTATCATAATGCTTACTTTTTCTAAGGCATGAGAGAGGAGCTGGGTTTCTTTTTCTTCTATGATATACAGAGTTGGAACAAACAGTGTGAACAGAAGAGGGGTAAAATCTTGCAGCTGACACTGTATATGTAACTCATATAATGTGAAACATCTATATAAACTCTTTTCAGTACAATCTTTAACAAACGTATTATTTATTCCCTGGCAGAAACCCTGTTATGCCTGTGCAAAGAGTATCCACAGTAGGCTTAGCTACTATGATGCTTTGGTGTAATTTTACCAAGCAAAATGGTCTTAATACAGACCTGGCCTGAATAACCTGTCTATGGCCGTACCATCAGTCTAGGAGGGAGCAAGGACTTGGACTCAAGGCTTCCAGTTACTAAGTTAGAGCCTTAATCAGCAGCCAGCCTTTTTGTCTTAGGTAAACACTCTTTTTAAATCTGTGACTCCACAACCTCACAATCAGGAGCTCTGCTTACTAGCACTTAAGGGAATTTTTAATGAGCATCAGAAACAGACATTGAATGATCATTTCTATTGGATAGGTTGTTAGTGGAGAATTGCCTTATTTTTTTCAAAGTAATGGTAGGCTTGTGCAATGTAACCTGTACGGAAATAGCCCATCATGAAAAGATGTGCTTAGCTGCTCAATTGTTGGAAGAAAATAGGGAATTACTCAGACATGCCTCTTAGTTATTAGCAAGCATTAATAACATGCCTGGCATGATACATCAGAAAGGGACAGGCCAGGAAATAAGCTCCTAATTATCTACGGAACAAGTCGAGCCCAGCATACTGTCTGGTCCTGAAATTCGATGTTCCTGTGAGTTGTATAAACAGCAAGATTTAAAAACAAACAAGGCAAAAAAATCCCCCAAATTGTTGATGTAGTGTCTTGTAGCAATGAGTTTCAGTGGTGCCTGGTGCATAGTATAAAAGAGCGTTTACTTCCTTTAATCAGTTATGATTGTATTTTCCATTTCACTTAACTATCCCTTTATTATTGTTACAAGAGGATAAGTAAAAGTATCTTCATCTTCTCTACAATTATTATTTTTATTTTGTCTTACTCTTTTCTCTATACTAAGTTGTTTGAAGCTTTTTCATTCTCTTTGCATGGAAATTTTCCATGTGTTTGATTTATGTCACCTGTTTTGAACTCATTCCTTGTTCTGCTGTGCTGAATAAAACCAGACGCACTGTTCAACTCTGCAGAGAACCCAAAACACTTCTACTCCCTCCTTGTTAGTTCCGCTTTAATGTAGTAGTAGGTGTTCATGATATTTCCTCCCTCACAATCACTGCGTACAATTTTTCTGGGGTGGCAGTTTGTTTCCTAACATCCACTCCAAGTGAACAGGGAATATACTTTCCCTCTGTTATGAGCAAGGAATGTGGGCTAAAGTGCTTCAGGCTTGTAGGGATGGATTTGGACATCAATTCCTACTAAAGTTAATATGAATGGAGTGTCCAGATTCTTGCACAAGCTTTTGAAGTCTCCAGTGCACAAGCTAAAAGAACTTCTTTTTAGAGGCATTTCTCTGTGATCGCTGGGGTAAGAGTTCCTGTGACCCTGTTGAAGGGAGTTAGGATCTGGAGCCGGACTGCTCTACATTCCAGCCAGTGATTTCTCAGGAGGAAAACTGGGGAACTGGAGTGGAGAAATGGTCAGTTAGGGAAGGGAGGGGTCGCTCTGTGGATGCATCTCCCCTAAGGTTAAACAAAAGTGGCAATTCAGTTTTTTACCAGCCGTTGTTGTGATGGGGAAGAGAGGAGAAGGAGCTCAAACTGAAGTAACATTGGAAGCTTCTGCAAAGTTAAAAACTGGAGTTTCCAAATGCTTGTGAATACAGCAGGCTGGCCGAGGGAGGTGATGGCTTTCACTTCCAAGACACTGTATCAATTATATTCTAGGATCAACTGTCTAAATAGGCTTAGATTTAAGCTCCACAATACCTAGCTGAAATGCTGTGTAGCATAAATCAGTAATTTGTTTTATTTAGAAATGTTAATTCTGGTATCCCAGAACCAACTTGTGGTGTTTTACCAAATTCCTTGAGCGCATGGGAATGTCCCATCCTAACACAACCACAGCTGAGGAATTAGCCATCTCCCCAACCATTTTAACAGGAACCATGGATTGCACACTCTGCACCATCCCTTTTGTGGAGGTAGAGACTTTATAAATGAATAGTTGAATTGTTCTAGCAAGGCAAAATGAGAAGCTTTCAGTTCTTTTCCTTTCTGCTCAATCTTTACATAGATGGTTTCAGGCAATAAGATAAGTGAATCCAGACCTATCTAAATGTCTGTAACAGAAAAATTTGAGAGGTAATTTATATTGATCAGTATTTGCTAGTGGAGGAAGAATTTGGATTTACTGTCCTCTTATTAAGGATTCTGTTAGCAACATCTAAGAGAAATGGCTATGAAAAGCCTCTTTTTCTGACTCAAAAAATAGCCAGGATGGGAGTAATATTGATTCTGTGCCCTTAAATACTAGCATTTGTCTTCTTTGTCTTTGATTCCCTCCTCCATATACCAGTTCCTGCGTAACACATTCAAAGCAATAAATACCTGGAACCAGGTGATTGTATAGTATTATGTTTTGTCATATAGTATTATATAGAATTAGGCCCCTGTTAGTGTTGGTCTTACGAAGGGGACGAGGGAGGTGAAGTAATAAACACATCACTCATTCACTGATAAGAACCACATCTGTTAAAAATTCTGGGTACAGAACACAGACACACAAACACACACAGAGTAAATAGCAGTGTATTTTGGCTTACTTCAGTAAAGGGTACACAAAGGCTCTGGAGATTTATCCTGTTTATAGCAGCAGTTGCTGACCCTGTAAATCAAGTCTACCACTTTGAAGGGAAGCATAACCATTTGGGATTTAAAAAAACCACAGCTCTCCTCAGTCTTAGTTCAGTACTTTACCATCCTCTCTCTCTCAAGCTTTCAGTCAATAATGGTTGTTTCTGTAGAAGGATGCTCTGAGTGTTGTTTCTGGTTTTCAGAAACCAGTCCTGTTTGAAAAATATTGGTTGGCTAAATGCCAGTCATTGGTTTTGGCCCAAGCTTGGTACAGGTTGGAGATCTGAACATGACACAGTAATGACTGTTGTGCTTATACAACCCATCTCATCTGTAGATCTATAAAAGACCTGTATAAATCATTACAAATTTAGTCCCCTTAATGATTTGTGAAACTTTGTTGGACCTGTTTTGCAAGTTCAGTTCCATATATTTTTGATTCGGTAATTAGAAAAGACTTTGCTCTAGACACTAAAATCTACCAGCTGCTTTATCACTGGAGTGAATAGAATGTCTCTAAGCTTGTTTTTGTAGCCTTTCACCCCTATGTCCAGCTGTGAGAATTGGAGATTGTGAGCTAAGGTACGGAGCTTCAGTAGACTTATCAGAAAAGATCTTCTAAGATGAAAAGATAAAAAAAAATCACAGCACCTCAAGACATGGTGTTGAGGATTCAATATATGTCCCTTTTCCCTCCTGAGTTAGAACCTCAGTTAGAAGCAGTGTACCCCAGTGTTATGCTAGATGTTTTGTTGCTGGAAATAAAAAAGAAATAATGAAAAAGAATAACACAGACAAAACCCAAGGTCCTGAAAACTGGATTAGAGATCCTGTGTCCCTTTACAAAGTAATAGGAAGGCATTTGAAGCTTCCATAATGTTTTGAAGAGAATACAGCTTTTGTGTTTATCAACAATGAACATTTGTATAGGTATAGCAGTGAAATAGGCTGTTGAGAATGCTTTTGCACAGAGAGTGCTGCTGTCACATCTTAGCAAAGATTTGAATGCTACTGTATACAAATATATATAATCCTAAGGAACCTGTGAAACAGGATGCTGGAAGAACAGTTTGTGATTTCGGAAGTGTGTCACATAAATGCTAGCTGTAGATATGTCTTTCACTTCACTATCTGCTGGTCCCTGACAAAGTTTTGCGCTGGAATGTCACATATCGCATTTAATATTTGAAGTAGAAATTGTCCCCTTCTTCCTGTTTACGCAACTGAAACTGCTTTTGCAACTTCAGTTTTGAGGCTTTTGGCTTCCCTCAAAAAAAACCCAAACAGGGAAAAGCTTCATGGGACCATTTCCTAGCCAGTCTTTTAAATGTCAGTATTTTATGGGATCAAATTTGTTTTGCCCATTGTCTGCTAAACTGCAGTTTTTATTACTGAAGCTAAGTTTAGATTCTAAATATTGCACTCCAGATGTGTTAATCAGAAATCTTTACCAGTCTTAATTGCAGAAATGTTTTCAAGATTCAGTGCATATTAACTGCCAGAGCCATTATTGGATGGGGTTTTTTTTTCAAATTTCCCTCTTGAAGATTAAATAGGAATTTGATATTACTAGTAAGCTGCAGAAAGTGTAGTCCCCTAGCTACTTCCTCCATGATCTAAGGATCCCCATGGAAATAACAGGCTGTGTCCACCTACAGTTTCCATCTTAGGTCAAACCCCAGAAAGAATGATACCAATCCCATTCTATTCCAGCCTTCTAGCTATTGCACAGCAGTTATAAACAGGATGTGTGGGAAGTCAAATGCAAAATGGCAGCAAAATGTTTGTGGTTAGGAACTTGAGGGAGACCAAACTAAAGGAAGCAAGGGAGAAAGATATGAATATTGGCACCTATGTACAGCCAACTTTCTGTTATTGAAAGGGTATTGAGGGTAAGTTTGCACATTGCCTGTTCTAGCACCAAAGCATATCTTTAGGCAGTGACAGCTAGAAGTTGAGTAGGGTTGATACTTTTGTTCAGTGATGCTAATTCAATTAAGAACCTAATTGTGTAATAACCTTAAGTTCTGAAGTGCTTTGTTGTGCGTAAGTTGCTAGGAGGCTTACAGAAGCATCACAATTCTCAGCTTTCTGTTCCTTTCCGTGTAGGCACACTACCTTGAGTTAGATCTCCCATGGTAAAAAGTAACAAATAGAAGAGAATCTGAAAAGATGAATTACAGCTTTGAGAGACCAGAAGAGTTGCTTATTGTAATGTTCTTTCTTGGTTCCTCTTTTGAAAATCAAATATGTTACAATGAAGAGGAACATCCTGAGTGGCAGAGTTTTCTGCTAGAAAAGCATCACGCACACATCGTGTTATGACATGTAGTGAAGAGCATGCTGTTTGCTAATTAGTCGTATCGTCTGGGGTTTCACGGCACAACAGCTGCAGAAACATGTTGCTGAACCTTGCATATGGGAATTCTGTATTTTGAGCAACCTTGCAATGCCTGGCAGGAGACAGCAAAGTATGGAGAGATCTTTGAACAGTCCCACCTCCTTTAAAAACTGGCTGACAAAGGAAGTACTGTTCCCCTCTTTCACACTCTTTTATTTCCATGTGTCCATGTATGTTCCTAGATGTTCAGTGTGTGATTTCATTGTCTTAAATTGCATACTTTTTAAGAAAACTGTATTTACAGTTATATTCAGGCTGGGGATGGAAGCATATACCTTCCAAGAAAATACTTGCAAAATACTGCATGAATACGTGTAGCAGATTAGTCTATTAAATTGCTTTTTAAGTTGAACGTTGCTTTGCAGATTAGAAAACAGTGGCAGGAGACATAAAGCAAAATTCTTCTTCAAAAAGTGCCTTGTTAAATAAAATTCCCCATCTTAATAAAGAAATCTGTTCCATATGCATAGTTGATTATGCTCTGTTTGCCAGCCCTAGTGACAAGTACTTCTCATTGTTCTTAGTTCATTGTTATTACTAGTTTCAGCAATAGTTAAGGAAGGGCAAGTCAGTCTGTTCTTTCGTATGTTTTTTCAGAAGACTTGACTTTGTGCGAACACATTATACCAATGAAACTCATAGCAACATACTGCTGAAGGCAAAATTACCTGGTACTACTGTGATGCAAGAAAACCAGGTTAAACATCAGTGCCCAGAGGTCTTTGTAGACATGGCAAATAGGAAACTGTAGCTTATTTTGAATTTGGCAGCTGAGCACTCTGTTCGCTCCAGGAAACCCTAAGCAGGGAGTATTTGCAGTTTCCTCTCAGTTACCGTACTGCTGGTACCAAAGAAATGAGAGTAAGGACTTGAAGGCACCTGGCCCCATACTCTGACTTCCTTTTCATAACATTTAGGACAGTCATGACTAACTCCATTGGAAAATCTAGGGGATATGCAGGAAGGGACTCTGTGATGAATTAGAAATGAACTGTAGAATATTTATAATCTCATGTAAACAGACACACTGAACTACAGAGCACAGAGGCATGAAAAGTTTGTAATGTCTGGATTTTTGTTTTTATTTCAGCTCATTCAGACAAACAAATTGAAACATTATCCCAGCATCCATGGAGACTTCAGCAATGACTTCAAGCAGCCATGTGTTGTGTTCACTGGACATCCCTCTCTTAGATTTGGGGATGTGGTTCATTTTATGGAGTTATGGGGAAAATCTAGTTTGAACACTGTTATATTCACAGGTAAGTAAAATGCAGATATCATTATCAAATTGACAATAGGTTGTGCGCTCTGGTTAAGTGTGGCCACATCCTAGGGGCTTTACTCATTCGGTCTGGGGCAGAAGTTTCTGACTTCAGTAAGAGCTCATCTAAATTAAGACCCCAGGATTGACTGTAGGGGCAAATGTAATTACTGTGCCATTTAATTCATTTTAGCCCTGCAGAGCCAACCTTTGCCATGCACAGTCCATTCCTGCCATTTCTAAGCAAAATCTTTGTTATGCACAGCAGTAAAATGCCTACAGGAAATTAATTTTTGGATTAAAAGCAGCTGCCTGCAAGTTAAACCCAGGCAAGACCTAATTGATGCTGGTCAGAAAGGAGAAACACTTCTTCTCCATATTCCATTGGAATCACAAACCTTTCCTCATCCCTTCTCCTGCCCTTTCATCAAAACCTCAGGTAGCCAGACAGTCTGTTTCTAAAGATGTTTCTGTCATCTCTGCTGTTTCAGAAATGTGCACCCCATACAGACCTGGCAGTAGTGATCTATGCCATTGCTGCCTTTTGGCTGAGCTTTTTTTTTCAGACGCTTTTTGGCTGACAGATGCATTTGTACCTGAAGCTGAAGGTACAGCTCTAGCTAATACCCAGGGGAGCCGTTTCCTTTCTCAATGACTCAGGCTGCCAGGGGCACAACAGGTCTTTTAAATTCCTCCACTTGTCCCAGTCTGATTCTAATGCTGAGCCTCGTTTTAATGAATCAAGCCCTGTCCACCTCGGAATGAGCTATGGTCTGAGATCCACAGGGCAGCTGCATCCTGGGACCATGCCAATCATTAATAGCGAGACAAAGTGTTTAAGAGAGAACATGAAGCTTTTGTGAAATCTAGCAAAGGGGGGTATCTTCCAGATATTTCAAGGCCTTCCCTCAAACTGACATTCTGTCCAGGTGCCTCCTCTTTATACCCAGTGTGTCATCCAAACAGAACCCTACAGTGGGCACTCTTCAGATCTGAGAAGGGAAATAATCCTTTAGGCCATTGCTACTGATTTTATGTATCTCTGGTATAACTGGGAGATGTGTTACACTATAACCTAGCCAGATAAAAAAAGTGTGGATTTTGGACTAGGACAAAGTAATTAGAAATGGGGAGGAGAGCACTGAGTAACTGATCAAACCTACTCCCACAGCAAGGGCATGATGGAGTCCCACTGTTAAGCTTATTTTCCTTCTCTTTTTATTGAATAGGACTGCTGGAAAGCACATAACCTCCTAAAGCAAAAAGGACTGGGAAAGTTTTATCTCCTTCCTTTGTTTTTTAACTGTAGACTTGAGGCTAGTGATGAGCAAGTCCCTTTGACTCTTTCACAGTATTGGTACCAAAAAGTGTCACAGTATCCTGATACTGTTAAACCAATTTGGAAAGATTTAAAGAAGTGTGTAATTAGCCCTACTGCAAGGGGAGGGAAGATACAAGGGGGTTCCTGCTGAGCAGGTAAGACACATAAATCTACACTGTGTTTATGCTGGGAAATGGTGCATGGTACCACAGCACTAACGTCATAGCTGTTACAGTACCCATCGTTCCTGACCTTTGAGGTAGTTTCAGGAGATACGCCCTAATTACAGTAAATGGTAAAATTGCAATATAGATATGCATTGTCTTGGAAATAATGAATTCTACACCAGTTGGGATTTCAATTAAAACCAGAGCATGTACCCCCTTTGCTGGGTTATGTATTTCATAAATCCCTAGGAAATCCATGGCATTAATCACGGTTCTGAATGTGCTACCCACTGTCAGCAAGGGTGTCAGAAACTGGCCTTTAATGGCAGGAACTCTTATTCTGTGCCTTCTTGTAGGGAGAGGTAATTGACCTTTCTGTATTAAAATGTAATCCTTCTGTGAAATGAGGAAATAGAGCAGACTTCTATTAGAACTTGGCCCTGGCAAGTTGTTAAGGCATCTGAATGGCAGTCCTAACAGCCTGTGGATACCTTAGGTCATGATCTTTGAGATTCATTCCTAGTTTATCCTTCAAATGAAACTCCAGTTGAGATCTGCTTTGGTTGTGATGACCCTGGAGTGCACAGTGGTCCCAGGTGCTTGTGGTGGTTTGTTTCCTAAATTTGTCCATACGTGGCTTTTGGACTCTGTCTCTGTCTGTAAGCATATCTACTCGGCAGGATGTTCCTCCTTCCTTATGACTGTCTCAGCTGGAACAAAGACATCTTTGTGCACAGAAATTCCTAGCAGATTAAATTCTTCTGTTCTTAACTCCAGTGGAAATCTGAAGCACCTCCATTGATGCCCAGGATTTTTATTATTTAATTATTTAGCTTGTCCTGTTTTAAGATAGCATCCTCTGTAGTTACAAAAGAAATTTGGTCCATTGAAGCAGTATGTGATAGCGGATGATGTTCTAGCTTTTCCTGTGAAAGATTCCTAGTTTCTAGTAACTAGGACCTTTAAACTACAGGCCAGGCGGTATTGTTAATGATGACACTGCTTGTTCAGTCCACAGGAGCTAGGTAGTCTCCACCTTTCCAATTTGTAATGTAAAAAACAACTACAAGAGAATATAGACTAAAACAGCAGCTGCAGCCAATAGACAGGACACCAGCTGTGAGTGAGCTGTAGTGCTGCTCTGCTTGCTTGTGTCATCTGCAAATGTTACCGCTGAAGCAGTGTTAAATAGATTATTGATCAAAAATATTGAACACCACTAAGCCACAAAAAATCTAGAAGAAAACACAGTAGAAAGAAGTCTGCTTCTTGCTCTCTCTCCGATAACAGCAATGCTTTAAAAACTAACTCCCTAGGAGATCTTAAAAACAGCTCATGCATGCCACATTAGTGCATCTTCAGTGGAAGATTTTATAACACAGTGTCACACAGTAGTAAATCAGATGTCTTGGGGGGAAAAGCTAAAGACCTGTAATTCTGTCAGAAAAAGTCAATATGTGTCCTTGACAAGCACCGTCTTCCATCAGACAGGTGACTTCTGGTTTTTTGGTAGTTTCAAAACAGCTATTCCTATATGTCACATAAGTTCACTGTGAGACTAGCTCAAGTTATGTTTTTCATGTGTTCTAAATCTTCAAAGTCCTGTGTTAGAATTCCTTCAGAGATACTATAGACTTGGTGCCATTTTGGATTCTTAGATCAAAAAGCCATGTCTGTACATTTTCTGAGCCTACTTATTCAAAAATACTTAGTCTGAATAGGTGCTGCCTCATGGCATTCTCAGATAAAAGCAGTCAAATCTCTGTGTAATCCACAATACAAGATGGGATGGAAAAGCTCTCTTCTGATAACTTTTTAAACTTACTATTTGCAATTTCATTGTACATCTCTAGCAGAGGACCTGTGCCTGACTTAAGTTTTTTGGGTTTCCCCAGTGGGTTTTAAAATGTCTTCTGAATTAATCCTAATTGACCACTGGTCATTCTTCAACTAGCTACCTTCTTAGTATTCTTATTTTTAAACTTCTGTTCATTGCTATTAAATTTAACTGCCATTAACTCCCAGTTTTTACATGATATTTTTAGGCTTTGTTTCATTGCCACTAACACATCTGCTTTTAACTAGCATGGCTTTTTGCCCAGTACAATTTTTATTTCATGTTTCTAGATTCATGGCTTTTGGGGCGTCTAGTAAGATGTTCTTGTACAACTATCATTTTTTGTTAATATTTCTCACTTTGATGTGCCTATGCAGTTATTCTGACAATTGCTTTAAACTTGGGAAAATTATCCCTTTGACAGTTCCAAACATATGTATCATTGGCTGATGCTATATTCTGTTCTCACAGGGTAAATATAACCACATCATGATCACTGATACTTAGCCAGCAGCAGATTTTTAGGCTAGCAATTAACTTGTCTTTATCAGTAGAATGAGGCCCAATATTGAATGTCAGATGCCATGCTGGAAGCTGAACTTCCTGCGGTAAACTTTTTAAGGACATTTTTTCTTGCTGTCTACTTGAGAAATGCAGCCAGTGGTCTCCTCAGGGTGATATAAGAACATAGAAGATGGCTGTCTAAATCTAGACTGAAGACTCTGTATTTAAGTTTCCTTTAAATTCATCCTTTTACACAGCCTGAGCAGATACCAGAGAAATACCTCATACCGTTTGCTAGCAAGGCTTGGTCGTTTGCATCTGCGCTTCACTCTGCAGGTTGTCCTTTGAGGCCCTGTGGTTCAAAATAGTTTAGCAGATAAGTCTTTCATGCATCCCCTTCTCTTTTTTTCATTCTGTATTTACCAAACTAATATCAGTTTTTCTTTTCCTAGCATTCCCTTTATGTGATCTATCCCACAATTACCAGATAGATAGTGATGGCATAAGCTTTTCCACATCGTTAGTTGGTGGCCTCCAGAATCAAGTGGCTACTTGTATACTACACTGTGTCGCCTATGAGACCTACATTTTTCATTCACCAAAAAAATAGTTTTTTTCTGTAGTATTCTCAATGTTGTATTAGTCTCTGTGTGAGTAAAAGCCCATTCAGTGCATGATTTTTCCCTGGGAAACCTCTAATCTGATTTTTAGAAGTCAGTAATAAGAGTACAAAGGGAAGCTGAGACTTGCTAGGTCTAATAAAGATACCAACTGATAAAGTTATCACAGCCCATCTTTCCTTCTGGATACCCGCTACCGCAAGCAACCTTCAGTTCATACTGGCCTGAACTAGAACTGCTCTGCTGGCGTAACTGGAAAAAGCCCAATTCCCTGTCCCTCCAACAGGAGGGCTCCCTACAGGTCCTCTTGGGTTACATTAAAATTTGGACCCTTGTTTTTCCACCAGTCTAAACCTGGCATTTAGATTAAAAAAAGAAAAGGTATATGTATACTGTAAGGAAGAAGAGAAGTTGGGAGGTAATGTGTCTGCAGCAGTGGACATCAGTACACATTCTCAAGATACGATCTTTATGCTGCGTTTTTGTTATAGTGAAAAACAAGCTGACATTTGGGTTACCTTATGGTACCAAAAATGTGTACATCTTGCCCTCTTTTACAGGATCTGATTAAAAATAAGAGATTATGTTTTTGTCTTGATTAAATTTGTTATAAAAATCATGCAATAACGTGTTCAAATGAAACAGTATTGCTCTGTTGCTTGATTAAGATAAGACTAATTGTGGGCATAATTTTCATCAAATTAACTGAAAATAACGGGTGGGGGGAGGAAGAAGGGAAGAGAAATCTGTAACAGAATTAACATTGCTGAACAACAGCTTGTCTAGACTTGAATGTGGAATCAGAGAGGAATTGGGCCATCTTTGTTCTTAATAGGCATTCAGTGTTTTCAACGTTTCTCTTTTCAGAACCCGATTTCTCTTATCTGGATGCCCTGGCTCCTTATCAACCTTTGGCAATGAAATGTGTTTACTGTCCCATTGACACGAGACTGAATTTTATTCAGGTGTCTAAATTACTCAAAGAAGTCCAGGTAATGAATTTTCTGTTGCCTTTTCTAACCTTTCTTCACACATCTGAAATAAATAGGTCAATTGTGAACAACTGTTACATTAAACAATAGCAAAATCAAGACAATACCCAAATCCTTTTTTCTATGAGAGAGCACACAGCATTGAGCTCTCCTTTATCATCCTGCTCCAAAATGAATATGGCATGACTGCCAATCTCTGCACAGAGTGGCTTGGAAGATCCCTAAAAGCTTAGAGCGCAGAGCAAATGGTGCGTACATTCCTTTCCTCCTTTTTTAGGTATATATAGTCATAATAACTTTATTCCTTATTCTTTTTCATGTTTGTATGAATAAGCCTGGCTGTGTCTAACACAGTCTTAATGTAAAGAGTACCAAGTGCTGAGTATCCTCAGCACCCTCAGCTTTAACCATCTCCTCTGCTCTGTATCCTGGAGCTGATACTTGCTTTGGTCCTGGCACTGCTGTTCTGGAGTTTCACTCCCATGTTTCTTCCAAATCCACTGCTTTCCTTACTCCATTTGCAAAATCCAGACTTCTGTCTAGGAAGAAGGCCAGAGCGTTCATGTAGTCTCTGCTTTTCCCCCTTGACTCTTTTTGGCTTTAGTGGCCTCTCCTTGTCCGTACAATTTGTTTCTACTGAAATTTGCTTTCTGACTCATGACATAATTAAAATAATACCTAGTTTTTTTCCTGGCTGAGCTTTTCCTTTTGTTCTGTCTTCAACTTGAACACAAAAATACATATTCTTCCAAACCTCTTAACAATGTCTGGATCATTTTATCTCATTGTTCTGTGACCTGGCTTGTCACCGCACAACTGATAGCAATTGCCACTGCCTGTTTTTTGAACAAGCATCTTCTTCCATGTTACTACTGAAGTATAATGCTGTTTCCAAAACAGTTTGCAGAAATACTGTCTTGTCCTTTGGCTTCCGTAAATCCTGCAGTGATCCTTTGGGCAACCAGCGTGTTTATGCTTTGTTAATACATTACTGACAGGTCATGAAAACTCAGAGTTGCTTATTGTGGTAATGTTTTTGCAGCCTTGCATATTGATACATCTGCCTCACTCCATGCTATTTTGTGATGGTCTCCACCACTACTGTCATTTGCTTCTAATTTAGATGAGAATGATTTGGAAGAAAAAGCAATTGAATATTCTTCTTTTTTCTAATCTTTTGGCAGCTAACATGACTGCTGATATTGAAGTGGTGATTAAAGACACAGATTTAGGCCTTGTTACTCTGGACACTGTTGTATACAAAGCAAAGACTGCCTGCTCCTTGAACAGTTTGTTCCAATACTGACTGGATCTTCTTGACTGCATCTTTTGGATGTTGTTTTCATACAAATAAATTAGCTTGCTAACAACAATCTGCAGACCTCCTTATGGCAATGATTACTGTTGTAGAGCAGCGTGCAGAATCAACCAAACACTTTTATAAGTCACCACACTCTTCTCTTCCAGCCTCTCCATGTAGTTTGCCCGGAGCAGTACACTCAGCCACCACCCACCCAGTCTCATCGTACAGATCTGATGATAGACTGCCAGCCTCCACCAATGTCCTACCGCAGAGCAGAGGTGCTGACTCTTCCATACAAGCGGCGCTATGAGAAGATCGAAATCATGCCAGAAGTGAGTTAACGAAAGTGGGGTAAAAGATGGTGGCTTCTTGTTCATACAGCCAAATCCAAGCTACTGCTTCAGTAGCCCCTTTGACTAAAGATATCTTGTGGCTGTGATTTACTGTTGATTATGATCATGTAAAGCACTTTCTATCAAATGGAGGGCTAAGAAAGAAGCATTTCTGAGAGAGAATTTCACTGGGTAAACTAATGGGAATTGAAAAAAACATTGTGGGCAAGCAAAAAATATGTTCAGGTTAATTGTCCTTTGCAAGGTTATATCACATCTCAAAATACAGAACAAATGGCAATCTGTGTTAGCCACCTGTGAGGCAAGCCAGTCATCTCCAGTTTAAATATGAGTAAGTTGAGGCATTGCAGTTTGAATGAGTGGTCCAGGGCCATGGAAAGGATCCAAAGAATCTGGGAGTTAGTAGGCAGGAGTTGTCTTTCTCATTCTCCAGCTGTACCTGCCGTGAGAAATACGCTTTCCCTTGAGGAGCAGTATTCACTGTTAAAGGTGTAGTAGTGAAATGGCTCATTTGTAATACAACAGTTCCAATAAATAGTTAATTCCTACAGACTGCTGAAGTCCAACAGGTTAATGGGTTGCTTGTAACCATCTATAATGTTGGACTACTTATGTCTGCAACATCTCTTAATAATTTATTAACCCCATAAATCAAATATAAATGTACCCATAATACAAAGGGTGACCCATATTCTAACAGGCATGATCTTAAAATATTTTTTTGACAATCCAATCAGCACAAATGTGTCCTTGGATCAAAGGTGACAGTGGCTTTTTACAAGCAGGCGTTACTGCCCTTTAGAAACTGTTGAATATGTGAGTCTACTTTTCCTCAGAGTGTAGAGGGAGGAAGTACCCTTAGTTAAGCCAAACATGAAGTACAGAACTGGTACCCATGTAACAAAATCCCTCAGCCAGTCTGCAACACCCATTCCTACCATTTCACGTGTGTCTGCTTTGTGGATCAGCTCTGTTAGGAGCCTGCCCAACCCACTGGTTAGAGGACTGCCAGTGACAAAGAGGGATTTTTTAATTAGAAAATATACTTGGATGCAACTTCATCATGGCATGTATATTCAATTTTGGGGGAAATTTGCATATTTATTGGATGCTGTTAAACCTAAGACTAGTAAAACGTGGCTTCCATTCACACCAGCATGACCAAACCAAATTGTACATTCTGAGTGCAGAAAGCCAGTACATGGCTTACCTATTATTTAGATTCCACTGAAGCTTTGGGTTTTTCTCTAAACTGCAGGGGTCTAAGTGAGCCTTTGTATGTAAGCCTATCCGTTGTGTCAGCCCTGTGAAGAGGGTGGATACCAGCTTTTCCTGCAAACAGAATGCAAATTAGCATGGATGCTACAGATGAATATTCACCAACCCTCATACATTTTGAAGCTCCTGTCAAGGGGGGAGGGTTGTCTAAAAGCTAGGCTGGTCCATAAGAGTCGCAGGTTCAGTTTCTTGCTCTGTTGGAGTCTTCCTGTATGATCAGCACAAGTCTAAAACACAAAATGCAGCTCACGTTGGAAAGGACACCGAGGACTGCAGAGTTCCCTGGCAGAGCTTATTAGTCTGAAGGCAATGCCATGCTCATGGGGCTAGACCACATCAGAAAACAAGTCAGTGTTTCTCTTGTTAGCTTGGCTGTTGGCAGCAAGTTCCCTTATACTTGAGGCTCAAGAGGCCACGTAGATTCAGTCTCATTGGCAGACACTAATGTGAAAATGCTCTCCATTTCTCAAACCCAGTTCTCCAGTGGTTTTCAGGTGCTGTCTGTCACTGAAGTGAATGGATTCTTCCTATACCTCTAGGTAAAACCAGTGCATAGGAATAAAAGCACTTCCCAAAACTGCTGGGGTGTTGAAGGGAGGATGCACTATAGACAGTGTCGTGGTATTTACCAACCTGGAAATGGGTATCGAAGAAGCATGTAGAAAATGAGAGCTGGTTTCTATTGCATTCACTTTAACTTGGAGTGTTCGAGCAGAAAGCTGCACAGAGAGGAATATTGACAGAAATGGCCCTTTTTTTTCCTCTAACAAATAACATCAAATTGTATTCACACAGGAGTCCTAATTTCAAAGCTATCTGTGCTCAGGGAGTAGAAACATCTCATGTGATTTTCCATGTTCAGGTATTCTCCCTGGTTTGAAAGCTGTGCTTACCAACTTGTTGCAAGAAGCTACTTGGTATGTAATGACACTCCTGAAAAGACTTTTTAATAGGATACAAAAGTTAGGTAGACCAGATTGTCCCTGTGACTTTCAGGAAAACTGTTGTCCTTCCCCATTGGTGTCAGGGAGGTAGTCTTTGCTTGCCTCAGGGGGTTCTTTGAGAGTTAGACCCATTACTTGTTGTGTGCTTGCTTCTGAGAGCAAGGCTGTGATTCAGGGCTGCTAATAGGATGCCATTCCCCAGCACTGAGTTATGCAAATCATCCTCAGAAAAAGACCTCGCTCATTCTTTTTAAGGGAACTTGCTAGAGGAATAGCAATACCAACTTTGTAGTGATCACAGACTGTCTCCCCAGGACAAACTATTTCAACATGTCTTCATCACATCATGGTGTGAGGCTCGTTTTTGCTTCCAGCTTGACCTGCAGAGTGGTGATAAGGCATGGGAGGGATGGTATGTTGTCTTCCACCCTGTCTGACTTCGAGTCTTAGCAGCATAGCTGATAACTGCTGAGAAGTGTAACTATGTGATCTCTCCTACTCTGTGTAAGCAGTCACAACAGTCAATCCCAAAGGATCATTGTCTGGTTTGCAAATAAATGGGAGAAGGAGGAAAAGACTGTCTTTTTCTGGGGCCTGTATGTCCTTTGATGCTAACCCACTAAACAAGCACCTTACTTCCCTAATAATTTTTATGTGCCATCTGCATGGCTTGCTTCATTCCCTCTCCCAGGAGAAAAGCCCTGTCTGTCTGTCTGTCCTGTTGTGCAGAAAGGTCATTAGGATGTTGGTTTTGAGAGGTTGATGCAGATGGCCTGTTGGTTTCAGGCAGGGTTTACACAGTGGTGGCAAAAAATGGCTGAAACTTCCCCTTCTGCTGGGTGGGTTGTGCAAGACAGGATTGCAGATACGATAGATGAGGCTCCCTGGTGGGGAGTATTTGCTGCTTCATGTCCCCTTTTCAGTAGTTTCATCCAGGAAGAGTCTGTAATGGTGCCTGAATATATAGGAATTTCTGTACTGTGAGGAAAGGGCATTTGTTTCATGTGGGCTACCACCAGCTCTGGGGTTCTGTGAAGGGTCAAGTGGCAGTTGGAAGGGGTATTTTATAGCTCCTAGCAAACTTTGCTATTGTTATTTGTCAAAACCATGTTAGCCAAAAATGGAATGATGAAATCCACCCTGGAAAAAAAAGTAATTGCTAGATCTGCTCCAGGTCTAGGACTTGTGTCTAAAGTACATCTAAAAGTCTCATAAAAGAATGTGTGCTTCAATGAAGTCCTGATCAGGGCCCTCTCCTGACATCCACAGCCCTTTCTCAGAAATGGACATGTGCGCAAACTTCTGTCTGGATTCTGAAAGCTTTTGAAAACCAAAGCAGTTGGCTCATTATGGTTTCAGTCAATACAGACTGGCGGTATGGTAGTGTGAAATTTCCTTTCCAAAACTATTTCGGTGGTTCAGATTCTGGCCTGTCAGACTAATGTAAATTTACTTATGCTGCTGGAGCTTGTCTACATATCAATCACTTCACCGAAGAGCAAAGTCAGGTCAAGCAGGACTGTTGTATGTTAATGAGATTTACACTTGGAGCAGCCTTTGTTTAGAGAGAGGTTTTAACAGTCCCAAGGCACCAGGCTGGAATGGCTCTCAGAGGTATTGTGGAAACCTTTACACTTTAACTAATTTGTTCTTCTCCGCATCTGCCTTTCACTTTAAAAAATAATAAAAAAAAGACTGCTTCCTGGAAATTGGTTAGGCATTGTCTATTCACAGGAGAACGATGGGAAAATGGAAAACACCTTCTGGAGCAAACAGATAAATTAAACAGTAGTGTTTGAGCAAATAATGTGCCTCCAGTTTAATTACAGCTGAACAATGGCGCGGATCACTTGATTTCAGCAGCAAACTGACTTCAGTGAGGGCTCTGCGTTTTAAAGGTACTCTGTTTGCAAGTTCTTCAGGACACAGGCCAGTATAGGAGAGTGTGAATGGGCAATGCACAACCTGACATGAAGCGAAATTATAAGGAACTACTGCAGAGAAGAATTAGGAAAACAGCCACTTGGCAGCCCATTATAATTATGTAGCTTTCACTCCCCCCTCCCCTTCTCCTGTCTTGACTTCTCTTTCCACGTAAGATCTTGCCAATTCCTTTATGAGAGAAAGAAATGCAAAACATGGCTTTCATCTTACCTCTCCAACTTCCTTCCATGTTTCAGAGACTAGGGAGTTTCAATTTCTGTCTGTCTTCTAACCCTCAACTTATTTTGGTGACTCTACATTATCCAGTCTCCTGACCTCTCTGTTCCTTTTCCCCTGACTATTCCCCTTGTATAAAGATGCCGTAGTCTCATTTACCATAAAGTAAATGAAATATAACCAGCCTGCTTGCTTCTCCTACTATCATTCCTCCCTTCAGCCCCAAGCTCACTGAATCCACTGTCTGTAAAATTGCCTGGAGTCCCTCCCTTGTTCTAGCACAGGCCCTTTCTGAGTTTGACTTGACCTTTTGACATTCCACTAAAACTACTCTTGTCCCATCTTTTACCAACCTTTTTTTAGACAAAGCCAGAACCACTGTAGTCTACCGTCTTCCTGATTTACGTCATCAGTGTTCAATGCAATCAGCTGTTCTTTTCTTCTTAAAAATGTCTCCCACCTCACTCCCGTGTATCTTCTCTCCTGGCTGTTCAACCTGCCATGCTTCTGCAGAGAATTGTCCTCCCTTCTCCCTTCTTTTGTGGGCTTTGAATGTGTTATCCTTAATTTCCTTTGCTTCCCCCCCTGCCCTGTACC